CTCATTTCAGCTCCCAGAGCTTCTGAGGAGAAAATAGTGCATTTTGCTTATAGATTCCCTGGCTTTCTTAATTGTTCTTGTCATCTGGCAGCTCTGTGCATGCACAGTTGTCAGACTCTGGAGGCTGCACATAAGTATCAAATAGCCTTGGCCCCCTCTCTGCCTCCGATGCAGAGCCCTCGTCCGAGCTCTCCCCAGCCCCCAGGACTGGCCCAAGTTCCTCCCCAACCTCCTCACTGTCCGACTCTGCTGCCAGTTCTGCCACAAAACATCCCTGCTGCAAGTCTTCTCAGGATGTTCTGGCAAGTAGGTTGGGCTTCAGTTGTTGGCACTGTTAGATTGAATACCAGGATGTGGATTCCTGCTTAGACTGCCGTGCTCTGGAGCTCATGTTGTGTTTGGTTTACCTGTGTGAGATACGAGGTTAGATGATGTGTGACCTTGCAGAGTGAGAAGTTCCATCTTTCATCCTTCTGGACGCTTAGTGAAGAGGGGACCTAGAGAATAGGAGGATTTGGTTAATAGAAGGGAATAACAGAATATCAGAGTTGGAAGGGACCTTGGAGGTCTTCTAGTGCAACCCTCTGCTTAAGCAGGAGATCCCTCTACCATTTCAGACAAACTGTTGTCCAATATCTTCTTAAAAACCTCCACTGAGGGAGCAAAGTGACAGAACAGTGTTTGGAAGGTTTATGTCCAGCTGAGTGGCTTGTGTCAGATTACTGGCCTACTGGGATTGACTGGTGGTAAGATTGTAAGGGGTTGGTGTGGGTAACCTAACATCTGGGGATGCCATTTGGGGCCAAGAAAGGAATGTCAGGAGAAAAAGGATCAACAATCTGGGGCAAGTTTTATCTCCTGGCTTCATTGTCTCAGTTAGCAATTGGAATTTTATCTCTTGACTTGTTCAAAAGGGGCACCTGAAGGAATGAATACTACTCCTTTTGATTTTCTTTATACTTTCAGTTCAATTTGATGCAACTAAGTGAATTGGACTGCATATCATTACAGGGATTCTAGAATTCTTTAATGAATGTGTTTCTGTTAATCATCATGGAAATTATTAGCAGAAACTCTCACTCAACCAATTGGGGTAATTAGCATAACATTCCTTTAGATGTTGAAATGCAACGAGAATCAATTAGTGAAATAATATAAATATTATTTATATTATAAATAATATAAATATAAATCAAATTTAAAAAAAAAAAGGGTTACCCAAATAATTTACTTTACGAATATGAAAGGTATCATGTCTTTTGCAGTACTTCAGATAATTAAAATGTTTTAGAAGTTGCTGAAGTTTGGATTAAATACTATTAAAATATTCAGATATGTAATTATGATAGATAGCTATGATAAAAGTGTATTATCATTAAAGGTGTATTATCACCCCTGGAGGGCTGCGATGTCATCACTGGGGATCCACGAAGGCTTGAAGAAATGTTATGATTTAAATCTTGAGTTAAGTCTTGGGGGTCCTTGACAGCAAAAGATATGTAAAGGGGGTCCATAGTGAAGAAAAGGTTGAGAACCACTGTCTTCATATATATATATATATATATTATAATATATATAAATTTATATATAATATATATATGTGTGCGTACGCCATATCTAAATCCAAGATCAAATGTTTATTTTGTGATTCCCTGAATACTAATTCAAAATTGAACTACTGAAGATGGCTAACACAGGCAAAAACCATAACAAAAAAAAAAAAGAAACAAATTAAAAGCTAACTGTATCATCTTTTCCAATAATGTAATTATATTTTAATACAACCGTACAGCAAATCTTGTTTGGTTATCGATCATACGTTTTATGAGATTGAAAATGTCAAGGCTCCCTGACCAATTGGAAAGAATTATACAGAGGCATAATCCCTATTAAATTTACTGCAAGACACTGATTGTGATGATTTGATAAAACATTTTTATTGTTTTTCCTTTGGCGAAAACAACCCGGTGTGGTGAAATGACATCATGATATTGTGTGGGCCTGGTTCTTCCAGTGGAGTTTACCCATGGCTTAGCTTGCATTGGGTTTCTGGCAGTAGTAAATATTTTGGTAATCCATGTAACAAATAGGATTTCTGCTCAGCTAATGTCATTTGTACTTTTGGCAGCAGTCGTTTTTACAATTACTAGGGGTTTTTTGCTTTTTGCTGAAATCGAGTCAAGATATCCAACACTTTTTATACTTTTTTGAGTCTATACAAAGAGTACAAAACCTCCAGTGACTTTCTCATTACCTTAAACGGGGTAGATTTCACAACGTTGTGCTGGATGCAGATGTTTGGCATTGTAACATGGTTGAACTCTTCGACATAATTGTAACTTAAATAGTTGATGTTCAAAGTTTTTAAAAAGATTAGTTACAGTTTCCTAATAATTTGTTTTTGTTCTTCCTACTTGACCTCTGCAGGAGTGGACAGAGTTACAATCTAAGCTCTGTTCAAGTTATTTTCTTTGTTTCCAAAGAGAAATTAGCCCAGCAAACAAAAGGCTTTGAAAAAAATAAGGAAATGAGTTGCCTTTCCTTATATTAAAAGATTGGCTTCTGTTTAGACTGTTTTTTTATCCTAATTGTAGCTATAATTATGAGGTTTTTCCTTGAAAAAACACTTTTCTTGCTGTGTCTTAATATAATAGCATAGCTGCAGGTAGAAATTCTCCAGTAATGCATTCAATCCCCACATGTGGGTTTTTAAAAATTTATTTATTTATTTAAAAAATTATATAGCTGTCCAACTCACATTTAGTTGACTCCAAGAGCTTACATTTTTTTTAATCCATATGTAAAAAAAAGTCTTTGCTGATAGAGATATACTAGCTAATTTTGAGTTGAAAAATAAATTTGTATACTTATAGGTAGATAGATATCGTGCATTTCTTATTTTTGGATAAAGGTTAGAAAGTTTAGCTTTTTCATTTTTCCCCCAGAAGAAAATATTTTTCTTCTAAATTTGCTTTCTTATTACTTATTCAACTGTTTAATCTCATTAGGGAATCTACATCACTTTTTGCGTGACGCAATAACTTGGTTGATTTGGGAAACTAACTTGTTACTAGTTTCATGTCTAAGAATAATGTATTATGCGATATTTTACTTTTTTTCCCCCATAAAGACATTTTGCCCTTTCTACCAGCATTTAGATTTTATTTTGCTCTGCTATAAACTAATGATTTCTGGCTATGAAAAACAACTGTAATGCTTTTTTAAAAAATATAAAAGATACATTGCGTATTAAAATCATTAGCCTTTAAAAATATTTATATTTTTCTGTCTGGAAAAAAGACAATACCATTATTGAGGATTATTGTTTAATATATTTTAGCAGCAAGATTACTTGTTTTGTTAATTAGAGGCTTTTGTTTTCAATACCTTAATATTGCTTTGATTTTAATGTACTGTGCTCTCAGGAAGAAAATAAAGGTATTTTACATGGATTCCCATTTCAAAGTATTTTAAAACCATTGCTGAGAGAAAGATAAAGACTAGCTTACAAAATTCTATTTTCCTATTTTAAATCAGATCCAGGGGTAAACATGAACAAATAATTGGAAACAGATAAAACATAGATTGCACAGCAAATAAAACTCTCCCTTCTGTTGATCTTCTGGAACGCTTATAAAATTGTGGATGCTATAAACATGTAGTTCTCCCTTACTCCTCTTTTCCCCATGTCCCTGATTCACCCCATAGGTGTGGTAGAGAATAGCGCCTTCCCAGAGGTTCCAAGTTTTGAACTGGAGAATTGCCAGCTTGTATTCTTGTCCAATTTCCAGGTTGAGTTCTAAGTGCTGTTGCAGAGAACATTGGTGGCTGAGATTGCCTCTGGCCTGTGATGCCTTCACAAGTATTAATAGCACCAAGACAAGAGCATCTGCAAAAATTATGTTAGTTGGGTTTTACTGATGTGTTCGTGTACATATATATCTCTATCTATCTATCTATCTATCTATCTATCTATCTATCTACCTGTTGATCAGAACGATACCTTCTCTCTACATTGGTTTTAATATTTGTGATGCTGAGCTATGTGATAGTAGGAAAAATAATGCCAACCTAAGCATTGTCTATTATTGAACATGATTGTATGAAGCTGTGCTGTAAAGATTGTATCAGGGGTGAAATCCAGCAGGTTCTGACAGGTTCTGGAGAACTGGTAGCAGAAATTTTGAGTAGTTCGGAGAACCGGCAAATACCACCTCGGGCTGGCCCCAGAGTGGGGTGGGAATGGAGATTTTGCAGTATCCTTTACTTGCCACACCTACCAAGCCACACCATGCCCACCAAGCCACGCCCACAGAACCGGTAATAAAAAAAAGTATTCCCCATAAAAGCATTTGTATCTTAGAGATTCACTTTCCATAATCATTAAATATCAGATGATATTGCCTGTGTTGTGTACACCCACTACAGGTGCTCCTTGACTTATGTCTACAATTGAACCCAGAATTTCCATTGCGAAGCAAGACAATTGTGAAATGAGTTTTGCCCCATTGTACATCCTTTCTTGCCACAGTTGCTAAATGAATCACTGCAATTGTAAAGCTAATAACAAAAGTAAAGTGAATCTGGTTTCCCTGTTGACTTTGCTTGTTGGAAGGTTGCAAAAGGGGATCACGTAACACCCACCCCCACCCTCACGGCACTGCAAACATCATAAATACATGCCAGTTGCCAAGCATCTGAATTTTGATCGCATGAACGTGGGGATGGTGCCACGGTCGCAAGTGTGTAAAACGGTCCTAAGTCAATTTTTTTCAGTGCCGTTGTCACTTCAAACGGTTGTGATGAATGGCTGTAAGCCGAGGGCTGCCTGTACACAATCTCACTATCTGAGCAGTGAATGTACCCTGGATCCAATTAAACACTTAATGTTAAGGATTTACGCCAGCTAGTATTTAGTTCTCAAAAGAATGCAGCGTTTTTTAATTGTGAGATAGAGTTCCTTCTTGTCAAGTAATAAATCCCTTTTTCTCCATTGCTAGTTCTTCAGCTGAAGCTACAGCAAAGGCGAACGAGAGAACAGCTGGTGGACCAGGGAATCATGCCACGTAAGACTAATTTCATTTTCTGCGGCTTGTGTAACATTGAGTGCTTGGATGTCTTATTAAAGATGAAAGGAAGTAGATGATAATATTTAGTATCTATTAAGATTTAAAGGGAGGATGACAATTCTGTAAATATTACTTCTACTAACATCTGAAAATTAAAGGAAATTGATGGAAAATACATTACTGTATTAAACCTGGAATTCATTACAATTAAATTATGACCAATTGGAAATTAAATAAGGGGGAAATGATTTATAATAATTTGGTCTGGTATGCAGAAACGAGACTCGTTATTTTTTTGTGTCTGGATGAATCAAGAGGACCAAGCCATTGAGAGATTAAAAACAAGCCATGGATTTGTTTTCTAGTGTCTGTCCTTTTGAATGGAGATTCCCTCTTCTTAGACCCTAAAAGTTGGTGAACTAAGTTTCCTGTGGCAGCACTTTCCTCCAAACATATTCTGAAAGAGTATGCACTATGCAGATATGCTTGTCACTCAGCTTTTAATATGATTTAGGGCAAGGATTCACTATCTTTCATTAGCCAAGAGTCCCACTTATTAATTTGTGGATACTGAGGATTGCAAAGCAGACATAGTTGTGTTTCTTTGTTTTCCGTGTGTCATGCAAACACCATCTTGTTACCTGGCACAGCTGAGATTTGCCTGAGAAAAATATTGCTGCAGTGTTAACAGATCCATGAACATGTCATGCTATACCATGGCATTAAACGAGTTGCACTAATTTGCTTCCCAGCTCATTTTGGACCCTGAGTTGAAAAAGATGTCAAAGAAAGTACTTTTGGGCAAGGGTGTCCAACCTTGGCAACTTTAGGACTTGTGGACTTCAACTCCCAAAATTCATGGCTGGCTGGGGAATTCTGGGTGTTGAAGTCCACAGGTCTTAAAGTTGCAAGGTTGGACACCCCTGCTTTAGAAACTCCAGCAACCGCATAACACGGAAAATTTGTATTACTGGGATTGTTAGTTCATTATTTTAGGGCCTCCTTGCATTCTGCCAGGTGGGTGGAGTTACTCACAGTGGCCTTAGGATCCCATCATTGTCTATCGTGCTCTTTGTTTATATGGTGTAACTGTATTGCTGTTTTGTTTTGTTTCCAGCCTAAATCATAAAGGAAATGCAATACTGATTTTTAAAAGAAATAGTAAGCAGAGTACAGAATATGAAAAGAGAGACTGAAGAAAGTATGCCAGCGTTAATTATCCCTGCTTATTTGACACCAGGCTCCTGATGCAACGCAAATTTTTTACTACTACTATTATAGCTGTTACATAATTGGTCTACATATGCTGTGTTAAGAGTAGTGCGAAAAGCCCATTTTCTGCTCATGGTCTTTTAGCTATTAATCCATTTATGAAGTTAATCGGAGTGTCTGGAATCCAGTACATAGCAGGCAGAGTGATTTTATTACAGCCAATCATTATGTACAGGTCAGTTTGTGTCCTACTAAGTCAGCTGAAACAAACCTGCTTTCATGTAAGATATTCATATACACCTTTGTGATATCTTGGCTTCATAACTCCTTTTCGTTTCCTTTTAGCTTTGAAGAGCCCAGCTGCGTTTCATGAGCAAATAAAAAGTTTGGAAAGAGCCAGGGTGAGAAATCAAGTTTGAACATGATGTTTCATTCTTTGGGTATGATTGTCTTGGGAGAAGTGCTATACGAAGGACTTTTGGAAACAAGGAGAAATTGTTACAGATTTTTAGAAATGAAACCTGAGTTTGTTCTGTAATGAAATTGCGGGAGAACTAATTTAAACAATTCAGACATCAGCAACAACTTGATTAACCACACAGTCCTACAGCCACTTACAAAATTAGTTAAACTAATCCTTGCGAAGTAAGGTGTGCTTCATACCTGGCCATTGAAGTATTATGTTTGGAAGCCAATAATTATTCATGATCTATTTAGTTATTAACTCTCAGAATTCTTTTGGGCAAAGGTTGTTTTAGTAATTCTTCTTCAACCTAAAGATAAATAATTGAAATTATTTGTTAAACAATTAAAACCTGGCCATCTTCTCTCATAGTTCTAAACTTGAGAAGGCAAAAGTAAATGTTTAAATTATCACCTGAATTTTCAAAACTTACTGATGAGGAAACAAAAGTGCTATACAATTATTTTCACTTTTTTTCCTCCTTGAAAAGCAGTCTCTTTATTACATTTGCTTAGAAACTAAGAGAAACTAGGGAAATAGCTTGGTGATTTATTATTAAAAACAATTTTAAAAACACCCAGAGTTACAGGGACATTTTTAATGTTCATAACATTTTATATTATGTTTAGTACATGAGACTATAATATATTGTAAGCTTTCATGAACAAATAATGCAAGTTTATGGAAAAACAACTCACATTTCCTTTGATAGATATATTAATGCAGCTTAAAGTGCTCAATATAAACACTCAGAAAAACAAACTACATTATAAGGAATAATGACAATTGTTTTAAAATTCAAACTCTATTCAATAACACTCCTCATTTACTGATTGCACCTGTTGCAGATTTGCTAAGAATTTTAGATTTTATAGACTAATTAGCTTTGTATTTTTATATAAAGATAGAATTCTATTTGTGTTATTGCTTTGAAGAATAGAAGCATGCCATCTGTAAGAATAAGTTTCTTATTCTTGAATGCACTGAAACTTGGAGCATAAAACTTGAAGTGGTTCAGTTTGCATTTTATACCTTGCTGAATGAATTACCAAGAATCTGAATTTTTAAATGATTTAAAAATTAATATTAAACTTAGTTTTATAATATCAGGCAACATCTTGCAAAGCATTGTCAGATAAAAACATTGCTGATAGTGCTTTGCAGTTTCTGTCAATTTCAGCAAAACTGGACTATTTTGTGCTTATTACCACTTAATTTTTTTTCAGACTGAAAACTTTCTGAAGCATAAAATACGCAGTAGACCTGATCGATCAGAATTAGTCAGGATGCATATTCTTGAAGGTGAGAATCTCCCTTTGATTTCCTATTTCCTGATTAAATTTCTGAATAGATAAGTGAAACCTTCTCAGCAAAAAATGTAAGGCTGTATCTTTACCATGTATTTCCAACCCCAACAACAGGTTTTAAAAGGGGTGACTTTCTATACTAACTAAATGGCAGTGGGTATATTCAAGCATAATATGTTTTGTTTTAATTTGGTTTAATATGTCGTGTATGTGAATCTAATTATTACAGTTTATAAACTGAAGTTTATGCTTCACCTTATTGTGAGAACCAAGCTCAGCAAACGAGAACTGGATTTAAAACCCAGATTTAAAACGATTTCTTACCTTAATCTGTGATGCAAAATGTTACAAGTTTAACTAAGTAGGACTAACACTTAATTCATTGGAGCTGTTATTTTTATAAAGAAAGTGTCTCATTTCAGATGTTAGGGTTCCAAGTAACCCCCAACGAAAGAAAACTCCGAGGTATGAGTTTCCTCAAAGTTCCATTTTATTAGAGATGTCAAATTGGCATATCTGAGAAAACCCGAATCTGAAAGCTTCCGGGTTTCCCCACCCAAAAGAAAGTCCAAGTCCAAGTCCCTGCCCCAGCACCCACATGTTCATCAGGTTGTCCAATCAACGCATCGTCCCATGTAGAGATGCCTCCCAGTCACACCCATCCATGTGCAGGGTAGAGTGACCTTGACTCTTGGAGAAAAGCATGTTATTTTGACTACACATTGCCCAGCTCCCTATAATCCCCCCTCCCCGTTTCTCACAGTAGTAAATGCGGCAGGCCTGAATCTCCAAGGCCCAAAGCTGGCTGAGGAATTCTGGGAGTTGAAGTCCACAAGTCTTAAAGTTGCTAAGGTTGGAGACCCCTGCACTAAACAGTGAAGGTGGTGTTTATATAGCATTGCAGAGTTTTTAACCATGGTAGTTCTTTTCCCCCCTAGAAACGTTTGCAGAACCCTCTCTCCAGGCCACTCAGATGAAGTTAAAGAGGGCGCGACTGGCAGATGACCTGAATGAGAAGATCGCTCAGAGGCCGGGCCCTATGGAACTCGTGGAGAAGAATATTCTCCCTGTAGACTCCAGCGTCAAAGAAGCAATTATAGGCAAGTAGGATTGCAAGGTCTGTGGTTACCGGGAAATCTCATAGATTGTGAAAATCTGAAGCGTGAAGTGTTGCAATACCGATCATAAATGTGCCTTGGTGTTCTTGTGACACTTCCTCAAGAGAGCATTCTTGGTTTGTCACTCTGAAAGAAGTGTGTTAAGACTGGAAACATAAATAAAAACAGACAAAAGAAAAGGAAAAAAGAATTCACACACACACACACAAAAGCCGTCTGTCTGTCTGTCTGTCTAACATATTTTTTTTTTTTAATTTCAACAAAGTATTAATTTTGAGCTTATGGAATAATATTGTTCAGCCTTTCAATGGAAATGATTCTATGATTTTAAATCATAATGCAGTGAGTGAACACATAACATCAGTCCAGCTTTGGCCGTCTGGATGGTTCTCCCCCATAAAAGAATAATCTTCTACTCCATCCCCTGCTTGATAAAGCCATTGTCCTTTTCTTAAAAGAGAAAAAAAAATTGGAAACAATCCATATGTTAAGATCTATGGATTAGAATACAAATGATTGGGAACATACCTCCAGTTGGTGCATTCACTGTACCAGTAATTCTCCACTTAAAAAAACATTTATTTGATAAAACAAATGTTTTTTAAAAACATTTAAAAAGAGCCTTGGTGGCGCAGCGGACTAAAGTGCTGTTAAATAGCACTTAGCTGCCAGCTGCCTGCAATTATTGCGAGTTCAAATCTCACCAGACTCAAGGTTGACTCAGCCTTCCAACCTTCCGAGGTAGGTAAAATGAGGACCCGGATTGTGGGGGCAATAAGCTGACTTTGTATAAAATAGAAAACTGCTTAGGGGCGGCCAAAAAGCCCTATTAAACAGGTATATACAAAAGTATGAAGGCTATTGCTTAACGCATTGTAAGCCACCCTGAGTCTCCAGAGAAGGGTGGCATATAAATCGAACCAATAAAATAAAATAAATAAATTTAGTAACCATTCAAAGTTACAACGGCACTGAAAAAAGTGACCATCCTCACACTTAACAACCATCACAGCGTCCTCATGGTCACCTGATCAAAATTCAGGCCCTTGGCAATATATGATAGCTGCACCACTCTTGGTTCAACGTGATTGCCATTTGCACCTTCCCAGTTCGCTTCTTGACAAGCAGCATCAATGAGAGAAGCCGGATTCGTGAGTAACTGTGGTAATTCACTTAAAATCCATGGCAAGGAAGTTCATAAAATTGGGCTAATCTTACTTAACAACCTTCTCACTCAGCAACAAAAATTGTGGTCCCGACTGCGATCGTAAGTTCAAGGACCACCTGTATTTGCCAATGTCTCCTCTCTCTATTATGACTTGGCTAAAACAAGCATCCTTCTGGTTTTTTTTCTTAGGGGTTGGTCAGGAGAACTATCCTCAAACACTGGATGAATTCTCATTTGATGAAGACAGCAGCGATGCTTTATCTCCAGACCAGCCTGGTAGTCAGGAGTCCCAGGGGTCAACCGCTTCCCCCGGAGAGCCCAAAACAAAAGAAACACCCTCGCCGGTGACTCCAGCTTCCTCAGCCACACAGGTACCCTGCCTGCCATTTGAAATGTTGCTGTCTCCTGATGTAAACCAAGCAGTTTCTCTTTCGCTAATATCGTGTTTCTCCAAAAAAGAAGGCCGGGTCTTATTTTCTTTTGACCCCCCAAAAAACGGCTAGGCCTTCTTTTTGGAGGGTTCTAATTATTGACTCACCTAGCAGATGTGGCACCGACAGCCCCGCCCAGCAGGAGCCCGCTGCTGGCCCACTTCTTCTGCGGCCGCTTGCCGCCACTCACATGCATTGCCCCGGCCTCCATTTCGCCTTCAGATGCCTGCCGGATCAATCCGGAGCTCTGTTATTGGCTGCAGATGCCTTCCGGCAGGTATCTGAAAGGAAAACGGAGGCCAGGGCGATGTGTGCGAGTGGCGGCAAGCGGCCACAGAACAAGCAGCCACAGAAGAAGGCGAGGCAGGTGTCGGGGTGTGGTAAGTAGGGCAGCTCTACCACCCACATCCCCACCCTAGCTTATTTTTTACCTGCATGCCTCGCCCCACCCCCTGCACCCTGGGTGGGCTGGGTCTTAATTAGGGCTAATTTTGTGGGTGAGGCTTAATTTGATCACATGGGCTCAAAAACTTGATAGGGTTTCTTTTCAAGGTGGGTCGTCTTTTTGGAGAAACACGGTAGCGACGTCTTTCCAGCTACAGATTCAAATGTTGCCCCTTTTTATGTCCTTATATCCCCCCCTCCAGGAAAAAGTCAGAGGTCCAGTTTGACTCTTCATCACAAATAAGGAAAGAGCTAATAAAATAAGATAGATGGCTTGGTGTTTATGGTTGAACGTAATTAGTCTTCCAACCTATGTAGGAACAGCGTCCAATATGCTGTTATGCCAGTTGTTGAAACAGGCTCTTGTCTGATGATAAAGCCTGAGTGGAAAAGCTGAAATTTTTCTCCCCATTCTGTCATAACTGCTTCCTTAATGTTGAGGATAAAATACCTTTCCAATCATCATTTCTTTGTTCTTTAAAATTATATAGAGGACTTTTTTTACCTAGCATTGAAGCAGTGCATAGGAAGCAATGCAGCTGTTGGCTGTGAATGGAAAGGTTATTTGGGCATGATAGCTGACTGTATATTTAATATTTCTTTGAAGTGTATTGTCAGCTAGCTAGCAAAGAAAAGAAATTAACTGTCATAGAGTTACAAGTAAATAAACATTTCCCCTTCAAAATTATGATTTAACTGAGTCTTTCTGAGTTTACAGTCATTGTTTTTTTGCAGATGTTTCATTACTACAAACTGGATAACATCATCAGTGCTAGAAGGGAGTGGGGTTAGCACTGACGATGTTACCTACTTGGGTCATGAAACATTTTCAAGGAAACAACCAAACTCAGAGAGCACCATTTCAACCCTGAGCTACAAATATTCTCCTTTATTGGTATGATCAAACTTTTATATGACTTTCAAGATTAAAAACCGAGATAAGGCATACAGATGTTCCTAAACTTATTTTAAGGAAAAGAAAAGCTTGTTGCACACGCATTTCATAATTCTGTTTGGATTATTATTGAATAATCATAATAATTTTCCTTTCATTGCTTTTCGTGAGAAATTCAGAATTTCATTTGTCTGATTTCAGGGGAATCCAGATATTATGAAATATCATGAAATCTCTTTGAAAAGGTGACACCTACTGTATCAATAGCTTTTTCTCATTTTCTCCTCTTCTCAGTATCCCCCCTTAGCAATACCAGGAACTGACTTTTTGAAGCCACCTGTCACAGATCAGCATGCTACACGCACAACAACAACTGCTGCTCCTCTTACCACAAATTCTATGACTGCCACAAAACACTGCAGTGGGCCAACACTAATAAAGGTAGGACAGAACAAAACCAGTGGGTGTTGGTTTAATTATACTGCTTTCCTCAACAAAAATGAACATTTTTTACCAGGAATAATAGCATATATAATTAGTTGGGTCAAGAGCATTTTAAAACTTTAGAGGAAAAACCCACATGTATGCATTGGCAAGCAAGCATGAAATCTTCATCACCATCCAGCTCTGCAGTAACTATTAATCATTTTCCTAAAATAAATATTTTTTAACCTCGGTTATTGATATTGTAAATATAGTAATTGTACTTTTCAGAATGTCGCCAACTGGATTAGCGGTTTTGCAGATGAATGAAGGAAAGGAGCTACATCTGCCAGTTTCTATAACATTGTTTTTATAAGATATCGCACTGAATCGAGTAGACAAAAGGATGACATCACTTTTAAGTTATGCCGACTTTTGCTAGAGTCCTTAGCTTGTAACACTAAGCTTTAACACTTAAATAGGAATTTAAGAGACGCTGTCCTAAATTTTAGGATAATAATTTCTGACTGATGAGGCGAAGCTACAATTCTGGCAGCCTACATTATTAATGTACTAATATTTCGGTCTCAATAATTAGTATTTTTCTCTCAGCAAGATTGTGTTTGGTCTGCTTTTGGGGGAGGGGGAGCTAGTTAAGTGAAATAGTTCAGAGCAGCTGCTAAAGTGAAAAGAATTTGCTAAAGCAGCTCCAAAGATAATCATCTTCTGGATTATAGTCAGATACTGAATTCAGTTCCAGAATTCTTACTGTTGAATCTATAAATATACTTCTTTTCCAGATCCAGTGAAGTATAACAATTTGTATACAGGTAGTCCTCAACTTAACAAACCATTTGAAGTTACAACAGAGCTCAGAAAAATAAACTTACAACTGGTCCTAACACTTAACAACCATGGCAGCATCCTCACCGTCATGTGATCAGAATTCAGGCATCTGGCAATCAGCATGTGTTTACGATGGTTGCCAGGTCCTACAAATATGTGATTTTCAATCTTTCTAGCTGGCTTCCAGTGAGCAAAGTCAATGGGAGAGGCCCGATTTTAACAACTGCATGGTTCACTTAGCAACTGCACTGATTTGCTTAACAACCATGGCAAAAAAGGGTTATAAAAATTGGGCACAGTCGCCTTCCTTAGCAACAGAAATTCAGATCTTCCCTTGTAGTTGTAAGTCAAGGACTATCTGTATTAGTCAAATCCATGCGCAGCCATGAGCCACTCACTCACTAGTTTCGGGCCAATCATTACTCTTTCTTATATACTTGTAGTTGGAATGAAATTGGAGGGCCTCTTGAGTTTCTGGAGAAAAGAAACATCCATGTAATGCAGGAGTCTTCAAACTTGGCAACTTTAAGACTTGTGGACTTCAATTCCCAGAATTCCCTAGTCAGCATGGGGGATTCTGGGAGTTGAAGTCCACAAGTCTTAAAGTTGCCAGGTTTGGAAGCCTCTGATCTAACGAACAAAGAAATGAATAAAATCTCTACCGTAGCACAGAATAAGAGTTTTGGATTTAGCGTCAGTTCTGGATCAAACCGCAGCTTTGTATTTTCTCTCTGCAAATAGCAACCTCACCCCAAGAACCCCAGTGACAGACCCCGGAGCAAGAAATCCAAAGAACCAAAGCCCAGAGTGAAGAAACTGAAGTACCACCAGTATATCCCCCCCGATCAGAAATTAGAGAAAAACGAGCCCCCCATGGACTCCAACTATGCTCGTTTGCTGCAGCAACAACAATTATTTTTGCAACTGCAAATCTTGAGCCAACAGCAACAACATTACAATTACCAGACAATTCTTCCTGCACCACTCAAGTAGGTGAACCTTGGACAGTTTTGGACTTCTTTGGTTTTCTCATCTCCCCCCCCCCCCCCCCCTTTTTTTTTTTTTTTTGCCCCTGGAAAAAAGGGAGTAATTAATTTTAAAAAAGCCTGTGTGATGAATGCTGGTCTAACTGTTTCCTCATTGCAAGTTTAGTCTGGGACGTTACATGAACGGAATAAAATAATTCTTCAAAGCTAAACAAGATTATTTTGAAGCTTTAAAATTAACATTTCTGTACGCCAACCCAGTTAAAATAGATAAAATGCTTGACAGCTGAAGAGGAAAAAATTTGGCAGTCATGTTGAAAAAAATGGATGGGAAAGATAAATTTGGTTTTGAAGGTTGATTTCATCTTTTTTTTTCTTTTTTCCTTTGAAGGCAAATAAATGACAAACAGGGTAACACTGGGAATGTACCACTCAATGCTTTGAACAACAGCATCTCTTCAGTAGCTGTCAGCACACCCAGACCAAACACTAATATTTCAAATAGAAAGCCGGGACCTCTTCCTCCTAGCTTGGATGATTTGAAGGTAAAAATAAATAAATAAAAATTAATAAGTGCAGCGTGAAATGTCTTCCAAGGGTCCTAAAAATGGTGTTACCCCAACTCATCCGCCTTTCGAATCATTTTATTTTTTGCCAGTTCATCCCGCTGTCAGGTGCCAATTCACCAGCTTCAGCACCGAAAATAGTCAAAATGTGGTACTGTTTTCAGTTTACAAAAAAAATGTAGCTCTAGATTTAGAGCAGGGGTGTCAAACTCAGGGCCGGATTTGGCCCAAGTGGTGCTTAGATCTGGGCCGCGGGACCGCCCCGGAAACAACGAAGGACCAGCCTGCAATGCCTCTGCCAGCAAAAATGAAGCTCTGTTTTTGCTGGCAGAGGGTTGCTGGAGGCCGTCGCAGTTGAAAACAGAGCTAAATCTAAATACTCTTAAGGCCGTGATGGTGAACCTATGGCCCAAAGTGGCACGCGAAGCCATGTCGCCCGGCATGCACAGCCTTGCCTGTTTGTCTTCCGGGTTTCTGGTGTGCGCATAACGATCAGCTGTCCTTTGCACACGCGGCAGTGATGAAAACCGATGTGCACTGGCCAGCTGATCGTCGGGTGTGCATGGGTGTCAGAACCCGGAAGTTCGGCTTTTCCGGAGCACGATCCCTTTGTGCACGTGGCAGTGCTGTGCTTTAAAAGCAATAAGACAAGGGCACAGATATAAGAGAAGTTAATAGAATTATGCACAATGTAGAGAAGGTAGATCAAAGTGGATCCTGTAAATTACAGGTACGAACCAGAGTTAAAATGACAAAATGACAGAGGAGATCGCTCTATACATATAGACTTCAAAGATCCGGTCGCAATCTTTTAGCTTATCTTGTCTGTAGGGGTTATTAAGTGGATAAATAGGATCGGATAGCAGAACACAAAGGAGGTTAACCCGAATGGTTTAGAAAAGCAGGCAGGTGGATAATTTTAGCATTCTGCCTTCAAGTACTGGCCTATTAATAGTCCTGCTCCATGCAGCCGAGAAACGAAATTGCAGCTGTTAGCAGTTAACGTTTCAGAAAGAATAAGAGGGTTAATCCCTAAGATGCAATTAGACTCACTCTTTTTGGTATTCACTTATTCAGCTATAACCAGAAATATTTTCCGTACCCTTTTAGCACGGAAGAAACTTTCGGTGCAGAGATTCTTAAATTATGGATCAGGGTTCTGGGGGTCATGAGCAGTTCGGGGGTGGGGGTGGGAGATGTCCCATTGTTTGGGTTTGTTTTTTAACTTGATCAGGCGTGCCCAGGCTGAGTGAGCATTATCAGAAGTCTCTACAGGCTTCGTGCCTTGCTTTGCCTTCACAGGTCTTGTGGCTGGTTGCAGAGCCACAAAGCGTGAGAACCCCCAGCATACACAGGTTAAAATTTACCGTATTATTCAGAGTATAAGACGTGCCTAAATTTAGAAGAGGAAAACAACAAAAAAAATGTTTTGACCTCCATGCACCCAATTTTGGCCCTTTTTTCGGCCCATTTTCAGAGCTTTTTTCAGCTCGTTTTTGAGGCTTTTTTCGGCTCATTTTTTGGCCTTTTTGGCCTGTTTTTGAGGCTTTTTTTGTCCTGTTTTCAAGGCTTTTTTCGTCCCATTTTTGAAGCTTTTTTTGGCCTGTTTTTTTTTCCAAAAAAAAAAAGGGGGGCTGAAAAAAGCCAAAAAAACAGGCAAAAAAAAAAAAAAGGTCAGAAAAAGGCCCGGAAATGGAGTGCGCAGAGGCCAAAAAACAGCTGGTGGGTGGGCGGGGCTTTGGCAATATTCGGTCTGTAAGATGCACAGACATTTTCACCCCCTTTTGGAAGACAAAAAAGTGCATCTTATAGTCTGAAAAATACGGTAATTATTAAAATGGTATTTTTATTTCTAGCCCAGCCATAACCCCAAAGAAATAATTAGTCTTATTCGTGTGGCTTTACATGAATGTTTGTTTGTTTGTTTTAGAGGGATCTGGTATCCTGCTCGAATTAATTACAGCAGAAAGAAGTGAAGCTAATGGACTGTAGGCTTCTGCAGAAATGCTAAAGCATAAAAAGATTGCCATTTTTTTATAATTCTACTCCATCTTTAACATATAGCTGAAATCCCACAACTGTGAACACATCCAGTTAACACTGTAAATAAGCAAACTGCAAGGACTGTATAGGGCTACTACATTATCTACAGAAGTCTTTGGGCAACTGCACAAATTAACGCTGTTGTCTGCATGGCTGCCTCTTCTCTCGACTGCAGAGATTATATTTATAATGATATTTTCAGCAGCTGACAGGGGAATTCTGGGAGCTGAAGTCCACACAACGTCAGGTTGCCAAGGTTCAGAAACAAAGTCTTATCCATTGCCTGCATGACTCCTTCCTTCCTTCCTCCCTCCCTTCCCTCCCTCCCTCCCTCTCTCCCTCCCTAACTATTCAACCAAGAATTACCTGTTTTTCTTCTTGGCTTCCAAATATATGCAGAGTTGAAGGTACTTGAAAAACACATTATTTCAAAATGCAATGAAAATTAAACATTATCCAGCCCAGAACTCAAGAGCTCTGCAGGCAACTTACTGTACCAGCTTGTCCATCAGCATGATTGTAGGATGTATACAGAGGCAGAGATATACAGATATAGATGCATGGAAGTCTCAAACTTCCATGAGTTTGAGTTTGAATATTTTGTTTAGGCAGGATCCACAAGGCTCCATTGCTTCTAGTAATTTTAATATTTCATGCCCATTATTCAGGGCACATTATACTTTCCGGTTTTATTCTGCAGGATTTAAGCAAATAATACATTGCTGGTGTTTTTGCATCTGATGGTGGCAATTCCTTCATTGGATTGCTTCATTCGAGCGACTTCATTTCTCTTTTAAAAATCACTGTCTCCTCCCCCCTTCCCTCCCCTCCACTTCAGGTAGCTGAACTGAAAATGGAATTAAAGCTAAGAGGATTGCCCGTGTCTGGAACTAAAATGGATCTCATTGAGCGTCTGAAACCCTATCAGGATCTTAACAATAATTCCGTTGGCACAAGTAATACAGTGGGCGGAACTGCTTCCAGTAATGGAACCAATAAACCTGGAGAAGGCACTACACCGTTCCCTGCTGCGCCATTAAATAAGCCAGCAGTTAATTCTGCTCCCAATACCTCTTCAGAAACAGCACCTGTTGTTGGAACCGGCAGCAAAATAGGACCCCTGGAACACTTGGGTTCCCCTCTGCCCATTTCCCCTTCTCCTTCGGAACAGTCCAGTCTCGGAACGGACGATGCCAACATGGCTGATACTTTGACGGAAATCATGACCATGATGTCTCCATCGCAGTTCCCAAGCGCCTCCCCTCTTCGAGCAGCCGCACACGAAGACGGCGGGAACTCATCCGGCATGGACCTGGACGCCACGGAGAAGGACCGCAGGCTTCAAGAGAAAGAGAAGCAGATCGAAGAGCTCAAAAGAAAACTGGAACAAGAACAGAAGCTGGTGGAAGTGCTGAAGATGCAACTGGAGGTCGAGAAGAGAAGTCATCAGCAGCAGCAGCAGCAGGCCCAACTTTCTGCTTCTAATACGCCAATGACTTTGAATCCTCAGCGTAATAGCTCTTCTGTGAAAGAAGAAAGCACCATGGCAGACAGTGCTGAAGCAAGGCAGTTGGTCTCTGATGCCAGCCATGCTTTAGGGCAGCCCAGCTCAGCAGAGATCCAAAATCTAATTGCCAAAAAGGCCGTGGTTATCAAGCAAGAGTTACCTTTGGCCCAAGCTGAGCCGCAGAATGTCATATCTCAGTTCTATGTAAGTTCACAGAGACAGCCCCAAACGGCGGTCGTTGCTCATCCTCAAGCTCTGCTGGCTGCCTCGGGGGGTGCCCAGCTGCTCCTGCCACTCTCCCTCCAGGGTCCAAATTCAGCCACTTCGGTGCAACTGCCTGTGAGCAACATCCAGGTAACATCTGCGGTCAACCTTAATCCGATGGCCACTACTAGTCAAGGAGACATTTGTGAATGCAACTTGAAATAATGCTATAGCTTTTACTCCCCAGGTTACATACATGGATGAAGCTGGAAGCTTCCTGCTATGTTTTGTGAAAAACAGATCGAGGGGTTTGGGATTCTAGTTCCGAAGGCAAATTAATCATGCTTTAATATAGCAGCAATATCAGTAGCACTTAGACTTATATATACCGCTTCACAGTGCTTTTTACAGCCCTCTCTAAGAGGTTTTACAGAGTCAGCCTATTGCCCCCCAACAATCTGGGCCCTCATTTTACCGGCCTCGGAAGAATGGACGGCTGAGTCAACCTTGAGCTAATCAGGATCGAAATGCTGGCAGTGGGAAGAGTTAGCCTGCAATACTGCATTCTAACCACTGCGCTACTGTGGCTCCTAATAGCAATAGCACTTAGACTAAGAACCACTTAGAAGCGGTTTACAGAATGAGCCTCTTGCCCCCAACAATTTGGGTCCTCGTTTTACTGGCCTCGGAAGGATTGGAAGGCCGAGTCAACCTTGAACCCGGTGAGATTCGAACTGTGAAATTGCAGTCAGCCAGCAGTCAGCAGAAGTAGCTTGCAGTACTTCACTCTAACCACTGCCCCACTGTGGCTCTTAATATCCCCTTAGCAGAAGCATGCATGATTGTGAATAGCTGGTGGAACATGCTGTCTCATGGAATTAGGTATTAAACAACTCCCTATAGACCTGTTGGGCCTTCAGATTATCTCCAGTATGGTCTAAGGAGGAACAGTTATGAGGGCATAAATGAATGCAATTGAGGGTGCTTTTGTGTCCCTTCCTTTTCAAAGAAATTACAGATTCTTGTAATGAGTTGGAAACTGACAATACCATAAGCTCAATTCTTCTACCTTTTCCAATGAAGCGTTATGACATTGGGGCTGAAATAGTAACAGGGTATCTAATAGGTGTAATCTAAATGGGACTGGGGTTACCTAAACCCTAAACTATCGCTATTTTCTAGGGCAAATAGTTAGCGAGAAAAAATTCAAATGCTTAACTTTGATCTAAAAAAAAAAAAGTTCTTGTCCAATTAGCATATTAAACAGGTGCCTGGTTTTGGCTATACTTTTATTTCTGTTATCTCTAAAAAAGTGTCTTGTCATCATAAGGCAATACTTGTCCATGCACACACACGCTTTCCATATGATAAAATTTCCCTTTGAATTTAAGCTGCTGGAGGTTATTATGGCATCCTCATTTGTCCAGTTCACCAGATGGTAGTATATTGTAGTTGATGCATAACTATTAATCCATTTTGTTCCTTACAGTTTTGTGTAGAAATTTCAGAGGGCCTTAAATATGGTAGAAGTCCAGGGGTGAGCTGCTGGGGGTTCGCAGGGGTTCGGGAGAACCTCTAGCTAAGATTCTGTGCAGTTCGGAGAACCCTCAAATCCCACTCCTGGCTGGCCCCGCCCACCCTGCCCCTCCCAGGAGTCCTCACGCAGCCTCTTTTGGATGCAGGTAAGTGCAAGCGCGCAAGGAGACTCCGGGAAGGCGGAAAACGGGCCTACCGGAGGCCCGTTTCCAGCCTCTAGAGCCCGGTGAGGCTGTTTTCGCCCTCCTGGAGGCTCAGGGAAAGTCTCTGGAGCCTGGGGAGGGCAAAAATGCCCCCCCCCCGCCATGGTGCAGGAGGCCGACTAAGCCATGCCAACCATGGCCATGCCCACCCAGCAACTGGGCAGAGAGCCCCTTGCTAAAATTTTTGAAGCCCACCCCTGTAGAACTCCTGCATTTTTTTTTTCATTTAAAATAGACTGAGTTTGGAAAATAATGCATCTTGGTTGCCTTGACGTTATTGCAGTTGTCTTCTGCATCCAGCAAATTGAATTGAAGCCGTTTCTTTTTATCCTCTAGGTTCAAACACAAGCTGGTATTCCAACCATCACACAAGTATCTACTTCTAGTTTGGTCCCCAAAGTACCACAGATGCACATGTCAGCCCCCAAACAAAATGCTTCTCCACAGCATGCAGCTGGCCAAACCTCAGAGAACAGAAAGGTTGGTGAAGGTTTACGTACAAAGGGATTATATCCTGTAGCTAAAGTTCTGTATTCTATTACTTGCGTGGGCTTGTACAGTCGCTCTTCAATAAAACAAGATCTACGTTGGAATAATAAACATGTAGATTTAGCACTTAGACTCATATACCGCTTCACAGTGCTTCATAGCCCTCTCTAAGCCATTTACAGAGTCAGCCTCTTGCCCCCAACAAGCTGGGTCCTCATTGTACCCACCTTGGAAGGATGAAATGCTGAGTCAACCTTGAGCCAGTCAGGATCGAACTGCTGGTTGTTGGCAGAGTTAGCCTGCAATTCTGCATTCTAACCACTGCACACCATGGAAGGAAGCGAGGGAGGGAGGGAGGGAGGGTAACAGCAATAAGACTTAGATACTGCTTCACAGTACATGGTTGTCCCAAAGGTGCTTTTTCAAGAGGCAACTGGACTTCCTTGTTTTTCTTTGAAGACGTTTCGCTTCTCATCCAAGAAGCTTCTTCAGCTCTGATTGGATTTCCATTTTTCTATTCCCCACCATCCACTCAGAGCTGAAGAAGCTTCTTAGGTGAGAAGCGAAACGTCTTCAAAGAAAAACAAGGAAGTCCAGTTGCCTCTTGAAAAAGCACCTTTGGGACTTCTTAAGGAAAGTACTTGGATTCTTTTCTGGACCGATTTAACTCAATTTAAGTTTTATTATTAATGCTACAAATATTAGTGGTTGCTAATCAACCCTGAAAATTTCAGTTTAAAGATTTTAATATAGGGTTTGTTCAACATTGCATTTTGTTTTTACAGGTATTCCCTCCTACCTCACCTAACACAGTATTTTCCTATCAGAATCCGCCTGCTACAAACCTTCAGCAACCTTTGTTTAAGCCAGCATCAAATACGACGCCTCACTCAGGGAACCAAGCACCCTTAGTGCATAATGGACCAAATCCTCTTCAGAAGGTAAAGCTTGTTCTCCATTGTAGAGGCCTGACCCGCCAAAAGAGCATTGCTCAAAGGCTTGAGACAGCCCATCTAGGATGATCACAGCACACCTCTTCGGAGTGTTGGTGATTACCCCTTAAGCCCAGGGGATGCATCTTGTTCTAGCTCACGTTGTAGGGACCATGTGCTAGAGGTAGGCATTGTTACAGACCTCAAAGCTCTCCCATGTACATACAAGTATTTTGCACTCTTAGAATAGCAATAGCATTTAGACTTATAAACTGCTTTACAGCTCTCTCTAAGGGGTTTACAGAGTTGGCATATTGCCCCCAACCCATCTGCGTCCTCATTTTACCGACCTCGGAAGGATGGAAGGCTGAGTCAACCTTGAGCTTGGTCAGGATCGAACTGCAGATTATGAACAGAGTTAGCCTGCGATACTACATTCTAGCCACTGCGCCACCACGTCTCTCTTAATAGTTGGGAAAAGCTGCTGTGGGTTCTATTCTTAATGTCTAACGTAGGATATATAAGAGCTTAGGACCTGGTTACTTACGGGACCGCCTACTACCATTAACAGCCTCCCACCGACCAGTACGCTCCCACAGAGAGGGGCTCCTCCAGGTGCCGTCAGCCAAACAATGTCGGCTGTCGGCCCCTAGGGGGAGAGCCTTCTCTGTGGGGGCACCGACGATTTGGAATGAGCTCCCCCCAGAGATACGGAGGATTCCGGATCTGCGCACCTTCCGCCACGAGTTGAAGACGTTTTTATTTCATCAATCTGGCCTCGCCTAAATCTTCTCCCTTTTAAGTGTAAATTTTAAATTTTTAAATTCTTAATGTATTTTAAAAAATGGGTATCTTAAATTATGGGTACTAATTCAGCCAAATTTATTTAATTCATTTTATTTGATTTTAAATTTTGTATATCTATGTGTTTTATTTTATGGCTGTGCACCGCCCTGAGTCCTTCGGGAGTAGGGTGGTATAGAAATTCAATTAAATAAATAAATAAATAAAGAGACTGTTTGGTGTTGATATTAAAGTGTTGAAGCAAGAACAGGGAATCCTGGCTTAATCCACTGGCTATTTTGGACCAGTTGTGCCCTCTCAGCCCTAGGAAAGAGGCAATGGCAAAACACTTCAGAGAAATATTGCAAGAGAACCACAGGGACTTGTTCCTCTAGTGTGCCAGGAGTCGAGAGTGACTTGAAAGCAGAAAGGTGGGTAGGACAGCAGATAATTTGAAGCCTTTGCAGTGCTCGGGGAAGGAGGACTTAACTTGCCAGTTAAATCGTCCTCCGCATAGCATTCAGGTTTGGAGAGAAAAAAAACACCTTCCTTTTGAGAATGTTGCAGTCAGGGGTGGGCTCCTGGGGGTTCGGCAGGGTTCGGGCAATCCTCTAGCCAAGGATCACCGGGGTTCGACGAACCCCCAAATGTTACCCCTGGCTGGCCATGCCCATCCCTCATCTCACCTCCCAGGAGTCTCCACGCGGCTCGTTCATCATTCCAGGTAAGTGCAGGGGCCGTGCAGAGGGTCTGGGAGGGCAAAAAACAGGCTGCCCAGAGATTCCGGAAGTCCAGAAACGGGCCTGTTTCCGGCCTCCAGACCCCGGAGGAAGCAGTTTTTGCCCTCCCGGAGGCTCAAAGAAAGCCTCCAGAGCCTGGGGAGGGCGAAAAACACCCCACCTCTCTGCTGTGGTGCAGGCGGCCGACTAGGCCATGCCCAACATGGCCACGCCTACCCAGCAACGGGGCAGCGAACCCGTTGCTAAAGGATCTGAAGCCCACCCCTGTTTGCAGTAGAAGCTGTTTTGATCAAGCCTCAGGATGGAACGGAAAGAGATTATGGTACTTATAACAAACCCCTGATGTGTTGGAATCTCCTTCCGTGTGTCTGCTTGTTGCAGATCTCATACTTACCTTAGAAGAGAAGTAGAGTATTGTGTTCCCCCCCTTCACTCTTTTAATAAAATATTATAATACATTATCTCCTTGATGTGAGATAGCTTTTAATGACAAAGCAGGATAAATATGCCCTCTTATCGTCGTAAGCAAATAAAAAAAGAGAGTTGGGGGTCTCTTTAAAAAACATTATTTAAAATCTGTTTGCTGCCACATTGGTTTGTTAACTAAAATCCATTTTTTTTGGCAGCCACCTTCCCCGGCTCAGTCCCAGCAATACCTTTTGCAACAGTCCTTGTTCAACAGTTCAGGAACCAAAACGAAAGACCCTCCACGTTACGAAGAAGCCATCAAACAGACGCGCAGCCTGCAGTCTTCTCAACGAGAAGTAAGCGAACGGCAGACCCGTTTATTTATTCTAACATGTCTTATTGAGGCACCCAGCTTCATTAAGGAGTTGATAAAAGAGATGCGATGTGAGCCCTTCCATTTGCTCTAACTTCAAGTAGACATTGCTGCTCAGTCCTGGAAAAAACAACAACAACCCGCGAAGATGCGAAATTGCAATTTTCCCAAAATCTTAAAGCGAATCAGGTTTCCAGAATGTCCGCCATGTCAACATTCCCTCAGAGGGCAGGCGAAAGATAGCCATGCCAAACCATGGAATTGGGGTTTGGCTCAACTAATCCTTCATCAGGGGGGGGGGGGAAAACCCAAAGAGTTTTCTTTGTAAGGGAGACCAAAAAATGTGTTGTGGGGGTGGGGGGAAGCAAGGTCGTTTAAGGACAGGGCATCTGTGACAAGATAAAATACCTGCTTACTCATGACTGTAGTTGATGGAATATGACTTTTTAACAGCCTCAGCCAGCCAGTTTGGCAATGGCTGTTTTAACAAGGTTGTCAAGGATCAAAGAGAATGAGGAGCTTTCTTTATAGATCAGCTAGTTGGGAGGGGAAGGAAGCCAGATATTGGTTCTACCCTGGCAGTTCATGACAGATGCTGCCGTTAGGTTCAGTACAGGAGAAATTGTATTTTGTCTGACTTTGTTGATCCAACTACTTTTAAGTTTCTCCTCCTTCTCTCCTTAACGCTGGTGAAGAACCTGCCAAGTTTTGCTAAAACCACCAGCTGAGCTGGAATTATTAAATTGAGTTTGCCAGTTAAAAGAGAATTTAACTCCATTTTCTTTACAAAAGTATTTTAAAGCTTTGTACCTCTTGTTTTTCTTTTAATTCTTGTTTTTTCCTTTGCTCCCTCCTTCTGATCTTTCTGCTTAGACTAAAAATTACAAGCAACCGGCTGGGCAGCTACATAACCAATTCTGAAATTAAAGGGGCTGTATGAAATAAAAAGCCAACTCAAAAAAGAAGCCCCTTTTTTTGGTACAATTAGTCTAAATATTTATTTGTTTGTTTGTTTGTTTATTGGTTTGATTTATATGCCGCCCTTCTCCAGAGACTCAGGGCGGCTTACAATGTGTTAAGCAATAGCCTTCATACTTTTGTATATACCTGCTTAGTAGGGCTTTTGCCCCCCCCCCCCCCAGTGGTGTTCTTTTTTATACAAAGTCAATTTATTGCCCCCACAATCCGGGTCCTCATTTTACGTACCTCGGAAGGATGGAAGGCTGAGTCAACTTTGAGTCAAATACTATTCTCAATTACTTTGTTCCATTAAAAGATCAGTGAAGCTTTCAGATAGGGGTGTTTTCCTGTTTGGGATATGGGTTGACTTAACGTTAAGGATGCCAGTATGAATTTACTAGCAAGATAAAGTCTTGCAGTCAATAGATATTATTGGGAACAAGCATGGATGAGAGATACTGCCTGGGAAGGCCAAGGGAAATCATCAAAACCATCAACAAGCAAAAGTTAAAATATTTTGGACATGTGATGCGACACCTGGAAAAATATGGCATACTTCACTTAATCCTCAAAGGAAAAAATTGAAGGCAAACGAGGTCCAGGCAGAAGAACAACATCATGGCTTCGAAATCTGCTTTGGACAAAACTCAGCAGCCCTTTTTTGTGCGGCTGTCGATCAAAATAGGATCGCCAACATGATGGCCAACGTCCGATGACGGGTATGGCACAAGAAGAAGAATAGATTGAGAATGTTTCATCCATGGCATGATGATCCATGGTCATCCAGTGGTATGAACTTTCCTTCAGTAATTCCACAAGACAGACAAATATGAAAATTTGGGGCAAAGGTCAATGCACCTGGACATCCACTGCAGAAAAGCAGCTTACCTGTGTAACTAGCTAGCAGGGGAAATGCTTTGCTGCTCTTTTTCTGTATAACAAATGCTGTGATGAACATGCATTTGAACAGATGTTCCTCGCTGTGTCCTTTTATTTTGATTTCTACTACCTGTTATATAGTACACCTCTTTTGTACACTATCAGACCGGTTTTTCTCAGAAAGTCTGTTTTGCAAACATATTTCTCAGAAATGTGTTTTGTGAACGTATTTCATATTTACTCCAATTGAATTCAGTGAGGCCTATTTCTAATTAAGTCTGTATTTGGACTTCAGCTTTAACAGAAATAATTCTTAGCAATTAATCTCGAATCGGCAATATCTCCTTGGCTGTCTAATACATTAATATAGATACATACGTATCAGATTGTTAATTCTTCAGGAGTTAGTGGGATTTTCTGTATATTTATATCTTAAATACAAACATAGAATACACCACTATGTTTTTTAATGATCCCAACCTATCCTAGAATACCAATCATGTTTGTCCTTTGGGAAATGATATGGTAAAATAAACAATATTTTTTTCCCTTCGTTAACAGATTTCCAGTGCCCACAGCCAGCAGATGGATGATCTTTTTGATATCCTCATTAAGAGCGGAGGTAAGATGCACCGAAATAGAACACGTGACTCAATTTACAACAGTTCATTTAATGATCATACAAAGTTACAAGGGCACTGAAAAAAGTGACTTATGACCGTTTTTCACACTTACGACCACTGTGGCATCCCCGCGGTGGTCAAAATTCAGACACATAGCAACCGACTCGTATTTATGACGGTTGCAGTTTCCCAAGGTCATGGGATCACCTCTTGGCACCTTCTGATGAGCAAAAGTCCATGGGGAAGCCAGATTCACTTAACAACCAGGTTTCTACCTTAACAACTGCAGTCATTCACTTAACAACTGTGGCAAGAAATGTCTTAAAATGGGGGCAAAACTCATTTAACAAATGTCTCACTTATCAATAGAAATTTTGGGGTCAATTGTGTTCATAATAAGTCAAGGACTACCTGTATTTGAGGAATTGATTTTTGAACATCTTTAATCTAGATCAGGGGTCTCCAACCTTGGCAACTTTAAGAAGCCAAAGCTGGCTGAGGAATTCTGGGAGTTGAAGTCCACAGGTCTTAAAGTTGCCAAGGTTGGAGACCCCTGATCTAGAGGACCACCTTAGGAGTGTTCTAAGGAATAAGAAATGGAATCTATTGCTTTTATTTTAATGGTGGAACAACTTGGACAGAATTTATAGAAGTGCAAAATTAATCCAGGAACAGAACATTGTTCCCTCTGGACCATGCCAAACCTCCTCCTAAATCATATCGTTCCAGGGGCATTTTGGCAGTTTCTGAAAGTGAATCATTTGAACTGGAAGTGGTAACCAGTGATCTAGCCAAGCCATCGTGTTTTGAATGTAACAGGCAGGCTGAAGGCCAGAGGTTTTCAAAATGTTTCTGTGGCTGGATCGACTAGCTATGAACATCTGTAGATGGACCGTTTTGGAATCTTGCAGTGTTTTGGCTGAGTCAGAAAGATCAAACATGGCAATTCATGCTGGCCAGGAGAAGTGATTTAAGCAAGAGTATGAAACCTCCAGTCGTGGATTCATGTAACATCTGAATCGGGAACTAACCTGGATGGTTAGTTTCCTGAAAGATCAGAATCTGAAGCCGGGGATAAAACTTGTTTTTTGATTCAGCCTTGTGAGGAAAACAGCAAAATGGGCATCCTGAGTCCGTTGTAATGCTAACCAAAGGTCAAACAAAGCTTCTGGTTTCTTTGGCCAGCTCTCAAAGAGTTGCATTTTAGGATTATAACAGTACCAGTTTTGTTGTTTGTTATTCAACACAGAAAATCCAGTTTATTATCTCTGTGTTCATCATTGATGGTATAAGTAATAATCTCAAAACCCATCTCAGTTTGGCTTGCTCCCAATCTCTGTCATAGATCAAATGATTATTGATAATTCTTTAACGGGCAAATGGAGGGGTAATTACACTGTGTTTCCCTGATCCAGTCAATCATTTTTTTAATCTGCTGTTCTGAGTAGAGAACTTGTGCCCATTCAGTCATTATAGTGGTCCGTGGACCTAGGCTGAAAAAAATTGAAATACTTGATTCACTGAAATGGTTATCTGTTTAATAATAAACAAAAAGCCATTTTAGTTCATGGGTTACAGTCCTAAATGGTTTCCCTTGTAAGAAAAAGCTTGCCACAAAATAATAATCCCTTTTGTACTGATATTGTTGGTCTGATGTTGTCTTGTAAGTTATTTATAACAAAGTTCAGGAGTAAAAATTGACTCAGGGACTTAAAAGTAATGAAAGGTCACTGAGTCAAAAATGTATTTGGTTAAAATGTATTTTGTTAAAGCAATCCACTGAAGTGAGTTCTTTCTTTTTTATTTTATGGATTCAGTGAAATATAGAGCTGGTTTGGTCTAGTGGTTAAGGCATCAGGCTAGAAACCAGGAGACATAAGTTCTAGTTTCAACTTTAGGCATGAAAACTTGCTGGATGACTTTGGGACAATCGCTAGGAGACTGTGAGTTCTAGTCCCGCCTTAGGCCTGAAAACCAGCTGGGTGACTTTGGGCCAATCATCAGAAGACAATGAGTTCTAGTCTTACCTTAGGTATGAAAGTTGGTTGAATGACTTTTCGGCAAGTCCCTCTCTTTCAGCCCAGCCCACATCACAGGGTGGTTGTTTTGGAGAAAATAGGAGGCAGAAGGAGCATTAAGTATTTAATAAAAACAATAAAGGCTGGATAAAAAAATAAAAAAGATAAATCTGCTGTTGTCTTTCTGCAGAGATCTCTATGCCTATGAAGGAGGAACCTTCTCTGATTTCCAAAATGAGGCCAGTGACCGCCAACATCACTACAATGCCAGTCAACACCGTAGTGTCACGTCCACCCCCACAAGTCCAAATGGCCCCTCCTCTCTCCTTAGAACCAACGAGCAATTTCTCCTTATCTCTGGAGAACCAATTGGAAGCTCTTCTGGAAGGCACTCTACCCTCAGGAAACGGGATGCCTCACCTGACAGGCAGTAACGAGGACAAAGAACCTTTCTCAGTCATTGAAGATCTACAGAATGACCTCCTTAATCATTCTGGGATACTAGATCACTCTCACTCCCCAATGGAGACCTCTGACTCGCAGTTCACCCCCAGCTCATGTTTATCCCTCGACCTCCCAGACCCAAATTTAGACAATATGGAGTGGCTAGACCTCACCATGCCTAATGCTTCATCGGGATTGACGCCGCTCAGCTCGACAGCTCCCAGCATGTTTTCAACAGATTTCCTTGATCCACAAGATCTGCAGTTGCAGTGGGATTAAACTGAAAAAGTCCGAACCGGACTCGACCACGTTTTTAAAAGCTCCACTTAACAATAAGGTCCATTGTTTCACTTTCCTTTTGTTTTCAAGCTCATCTCTATATAATTATCTTAGGGATTTAAAAAGAAAAAGAAAGAAATCGCAGAGCACAAGGTTTAAAAAAAAAAAAGATTAAGAATGTTCCAACGAGAAAAGATTGTGATTACTGTAAGCTTATGAGAATGTGTCACGAGCAACGATTCAGGTGAGTGGGCACGTTGAGAGCAAACTGTTTGGCTTAAGAACAATGCCGTAGCACCTTTCGGTCTCTGTGGACACTCTCAAACAAAGCTTTGAGTTACATGGTGAGAAAGCTTTTGACTGAGCTAAAAACCAATGGGATTTTATATAAAAGGATGAAACTAGACACTGTTTAGATTTCTTCATGACTTAAAAAGCTCTTTTCTCTCGCTAGTCAATTCTTTTAAAAGACGAGCAGGTGTTTCCTTTTTTTGACTTGCCACGTTTATTTGTGGAGCCTGCTAAACCCTATGCATCTTTATTCAGAAATAAGTTTGCTGTTCTATTCAGAGCAGCTCTTTCTCATATAAGAATGCATAGAATTTCAGCTTTAAACCGACCATATTACTTGAAAAAAGAAAAGTCTTTGATACATTAAAAAGGTGCTTTCGGTTAGCTTTGACATTTGTGTGTGTGTGTGTGATACAAATAATCGTATAACCTGCAGACAGAAAGTGTGCCATTAGGGAAATGTTATCTTCTATTCTTTCATGTATGAAAAGGGGGACTATCTGTGTGCAGTAGCTGAAAGAAAAAATAAAGGAAGCCCCCCCCCCGACAGTTATTGGCAATGGCAAACCTTTGTAAATTGGCATCGTTATCACGCGTAATAATCAGTTAAATTCAGGGTAAAACTTTTATTTAATTTGTGCAGAGGGTATGCAGGAACAGGTGCATATTGGGAAAAATATTTCTCACACTTTCCCCGCCCCAGTGTTTGGGGGACATCAGTTGTCAGCTTAAAATATTTAAAGCACTTAAAATCAATGTTTTCTTTTTCAGTCTGGTGTTCCCATCAATTTGGTTTAGTAGGTACCCTATGGCATTAAAAATAATAAAGGTATATCTATTACAGGAGAGCTGCTCTCTTTTAAAATTTATTAAGCCCTTTTGAAAAAAAGAAACATGAACCAAGAAAATTAAGGGGCACATAAAAAGAATAGAGGAGTAACAGACAAATAATATAAATAAGAAAAAATGGGATCTAAAATGTCAGGGAGATTATGTTTTTTTTAGTATGTCATTATTTAGAAAATAATTGAAATCCCATTTTTAAAGAAAAAAATTAAAAAACACCATTAAACTTTAAATTGTGGATGACCGGTTAATACAGTAAAAATTGCTAACTGGATTATGGAGCATTGCTCCTGATTAGGTTTTTTTTTTCCAGTTCATCCACCCTATGGATTATGAATTAAGTTTCACAGTTTAAAATTAATAGAATGAATATATATTCTCTATATAGAATACACACACACACAAACCTATTTTGAAACCAGCATCATATTTTAAGCGAAGCCTGCAATTTAAAACTGCTGTGAAAAAAAAAACATAAAGGGCAAAAATTCTGTCTGACAAAAGCAATGTCATGCCATTACAATGCAAGCCCCCATCCCTTTTGTGCATAAGTTGTGAAGTTGCATACCTATCCCAACGGAGCTGGCAATGCTCCTTTCCTAGATTTGACAAAAGCAAGCAGAGCTGTGGACTTTTGTATTCCAGTGTGCTCATTCTACCTCCATAGTCAGGATGTTCTAAAACTTTTTAGAATTTCCTACTTATTTATTTAAATCGTATATGCATTAATGAGTGCCATCACCCATATAACAATTTGAATCAGTTCTATCCAAAATGACATCCCCTATTGCTTCCCAACAGACAGTTGCAGAACTCCAGAATTTCACAGCACGAATAGCTTGATGTCCTTTGGATACTCTATATGCAGTGGTGGGATTCAGCCGGTTAGCACCTATCCGAGAGAACCGGTTGTTGGAAGAAATCTTATTTTGTTTTTTCCCACTTTGCAGGGCTAATCCTGTAAGGAATTACAACATTCTGGTGTTGTTTCTAGCCTAATCTTTATTGCCCTGCTTACAGAAACTGCCTCTCTGGTTAACCCTTATTACATTGTGACAGCTAAAGTGAAGCGCCCATCGACCTGAGTGATGTTGAGTTGGCCATGCCCACACAGTCACATGACCACCAAGCCACGCCTACCCAGGTGGTCATTAGGGCAGAGAACCAGTTGTTAAATTATTTGCTTCCCACCACTGCCTATATGCCAGGAATTTCTGCCTGCAAAGCATAGAGCTGGCTTGAAAAATTGACAAGGAAACAAAATCCCTTCAACATTCACTACTTTTGAACACCATCAGAGCTATTCAAAATCTTTCCCAATGTTGCACCATAGCCTATATATTTTTTCTTTCTTTCTCTCGAAGGTGGAGATTTTAAAAAAAAAAAAATCAAACCCTGTAAACGACAGGTCTCAACTTCTGTTTGTAAAGCTCAGCTAGCTGTCTTTTTAATCATGAAGAAATTTAAAGAAAAAAAAAAAACCCTTCCGCAGTAGTGTTTCCCAACCTTGGCAATTTCCAGGTATGTAGACTCCCAATCAATCCCGGAATTCTGCAGTGAGCATCACCCTTGACAGAATTCTGGGGGTGGGGTTGAAAGTCCATTCACAAACGAAGCTGCCAAGGGGGAAACACTTCCACGAGATTGCTCAATCGGATTTTTTCAAGGCAAAGTTCTCTTTTCATTCCACAGAACCAGATGAATTCGATTTTTGGGAAAAACAGAACCTGGTCAGAATTTGGATTGTTTCTCGTTAGAACAGTACTTAGTTCTGCAGGGGAACTTGGTTCTTTTTTTTTGCTTGTGCTCTTAGGAATCCCATAGAATTGTCATTGATTCAAGGAGAACTAATCCGGCCCCGTCAAGCAATGTTTCGTTTTAGTGTTTTATTATCCAATAGGCAGTATTTTGAGCCGGCTGTGTATTTGCAGTGCATATTTTGCCGTTTTGTTTTCTCCTGAAAGCCATAACTGTGAAGATGCCAATTCGGGTTGGCTTCATTGTCGAGGCGAGCTTTGATATTTTAGGAACTGTTTGCTGGTGTCAAGGTAGCGCCAGGCCAAAACCAAAAACATCGACAACTTCCCCCTAAACGTCAGTTTGGGATCCTTGTTTGGAACAATTATTCTTGTGCCATTTTGCATTTTTATTTTAGAGCTATCATATGCTGTTATTCAAACAACTACACTAAACTTTCTTTGTGATTTTAGCCTAGAGCTAGGAGTGTTTTCAGCCAGACAGTATGAAATGACTTTGAGAGAAAGTAAGTATTTTCACCTTTACCATTCCATTTCCCCATCCTTTGAGGGAGAATAATCTTCCACTAAATATATTTTTCTCCCACATACCGTATTTTTCGGAGTATAAGATGCACCTTTTCCCCCCAAAAAAGAGGGAGAAATCTGGGTGCGTCTTATACGCCAAATGTAGCCCTGCCCAGCTTCTCAAACGGAGGTTTCAGAGGCTGAAAAAAGCATCAGAAACGAAGCTTCAGAAAAGAAGCCCCCAAGCAGAGCTTCAGAGGCTTTTTTTCTGAAGCTCTGTTTCAGAGGCTTTCAGAGGCAAGAAAAAAAGTTTTTTCTGAAACAGAGTTTCAGAAGTTTCAGAGGCAAAAAAAAAAGCAAGGCACAGAGCTCACAACCAAGGAACCTGTTGCTAAAATGCACCTTTGGGAACAGCTGATTGGGGGTATTCAGGGAGGCCAATCCACCTGCCAATCAGCTTTTTTCTTATTTTCCTCCCCAAAAACTAAGGTGCGTTTTATGCTCTAGTGCGTCTTATACTCCGAAAAATACGGTATATCAGTTTGAAATAAGATATTTAATACTCTGTCCTGGCTTCAGTAGGGACACCTATGAGATATGAGCTCTATATTGCTGAAAATTAGAATAATTTCCATAGATGATATATGATGTTTTAATCCAAAGAAGAGCGGATCTCTTGATTGTATCTTTATGCTTCAATATGGATGCTTAGCTAATCTGACTTTCCATCTCCAACTACCATTGGATTTAAGGGACAATTTGCCTTTTCAGCAAGATGTGCTTATCTATATATACCTCTCTCTTTTGAATTCTACCCCAGAGCAAACAGAGAACAAGGAAAAGGGCCCTGGAGAAACCAGGAAAGGCTGATATAAAGCTGTTTCATTAGCTCAGAAGTATCAGGCTTCTAGTTTCTTAATCTCCCTTGTCTCCATAGGAGTCACAGAAATGTGCTAGGCTTGACTTACACCGTTAAATATATTTCTGTTATACATGGTGCATCTCAGTGGTTTCGAAATTGGTCCTACCTGAACACCCACAAATGTAAATGAATCCTCCCAGCCCCCCCTAATTGTCAGTCCTGTTGTTGACACTGAACAAGGGTCTTTCTCCTTCGTCGTTTTAAAATGTCAATACCGTATAGGCAGCATATATCAGAGTAGAAGGCAAGACACGGGATCCATGGAGCTTCTAAAAACGTGTCCCCAGCCTGGTTTTAACAAAGCCTCTCCCGGGAATGCGGGTGTGCGTCTCTCACTGTGTAATCCAGCTGGAACCTACCAGGATCTGTCTATGGAGCCTGATTCACACAGTTTGAGAAGTACTTTCTTATAGCTTGTAAGCAATAGTTCGTGCTTTTGGCTTAGAAGGGGCCACAATCATCAGTTAGTTTGTAGGAAGCTTTTTTTTTTGGTCCTCTTACTGACTGGGCTGCCATTGCAGAAAGCATGTACATAGAGCTTAATTTTTTTTTAAAAAATAGTATTGTGTGATGGCGTGCTACACAAATGCCCTCATGCGTAGTGTGCTACTCAAGCCATACCGGAGCATGTACGACAGAGAATGCAAACCCAGCCTGGAATAAAACCAGGCAGCCAAGTGTGGTAAGCAGTGTGAAGCTTCATTCTAGGAAGAAAAACAAACAAACAAACAAACATTAAGGGATCATGAACATTTATAACGGAATCTTATTTATTTTTAGGTTAAGAGCGTGTGTTGTTTTTCTGTGCATTTCGAAGCAGAACTTTTATCATGAAACATATCTCGGTTTGCTTTTAATCGGACAACCTGAGATATGCGATCTTTACCAACTGTATGTGAACCTGATATTTGTGAACAGTTTCTTTATATTTATATACATATATACATATATATATATATACAGACATATATATTATTGCTTGGGTAATTTCTGTACACTTGATATATATATTTTTTTTGGTAAGATGAACATTTGGCTCCTTATCTTTGATTACCAATTGCACTGCTAGCCTCGCCTTTCTCTGCACAAAAAAAAAAAAACACTTGGAATTTGTTTAGTAGTACTAAGCATGCCTTCTGAGTAAATATCAATTTTACTGCAGCTACGTGCTTCTCATTTGCTTAGTATTGCCTGCTTTTTTCTTCTTCTTTTTCTATTTTTTTTTTCATTTATGAGATCGGTCCACACTCACGGGAGTTTCAGGATCATCCCCACCTGCAGTTACACCATCTGGAAGATCATATTTTGGAGAGTAGCTAAAATGAAAACCTACTTGTTGCCTACTATTGCTTCTCTCTAGGACAGTGAAAGAAGAGAGTAGCAAAGATTATTGCAGGAGAATCAACCTAAGTCTCTTTGCCAGCTCTTCTTCTGTGTCCAGAATATACATGCTTGCAATGTAGTGTCAAACATGATTGCTCAGAAGTCCAATGGGGATGACGAAGTTGTAAGTTTAAGATAGGGCTATGGCACCGTTCTCCATAATGCAAATTAATTCACTATAGAGGTATAGCTAGATTTGCTGTTTGCAGGTATGCAAACCCCAGGGAAAAAAATATCTTTATCAGGGAGATGTATCTGTTTATCCCAGTCTCACTTTCCTGTGCTAGATGAAGTTGTGACAAAAAAACCTCCCACAGTTATCTATTTTCTGGAATTCATTTCTGGTTATATTTTCCTTGATGTTTGAAAAGAGAGAGAGAGAGAGAGAGAGAGAGAGAGAGAGAGAGAACAAATAAGCAGAATGAGGTACTTTAGTACCAGTTTCTGCTGTAAGGATATAGATTTCTTCAATCTCCTCCAATATAGAGATATTTCAAGATGGCATAACATTTAAAAGTGGGTTGACAGCAGTGGTGGGTTTCAAATTTTTTTACTACCAGTTCTGTGGGTGTGGCTTGGTGGGCGTGGCATGGCTTGGTGGGCATGGCAGGGGAAGGATACTGTAAAATCTCCATTCCCTCCCCACTCCAGGGGACGGTTACTGCAAAATCCCCAATTCCTCCCAATCAACTGGGACTTGGGAGGCAGAGAATAGACGGGGGCGGGGCCAGTCAGTATTTTTACTACCGGTTCTCCGGACTACTCAAAATTTCCATTACCGGTTGTCCAGAACTGGTCAGAACCTGCTGAAACCCACCTCTGGTTGACAGTCTTGAGTCCTTTGACTAAGAAAATAAATTCTGTTGTTTTATTGGCACTGACTTCTGAGTAAACCTGCTTTGCTTTCCACTGCAGGCATATATGTTGTACACACAAACATGACTCAAATAACCATAGCTATAACTCCAGAACCAATTAGTGAATCGGTTTATATTTAATGGCTCACTCTCCAAAACCTGTTCTTTTAGACCGCTTTCAAACCGCTTTTTGTTGTGAAAAGCAGAAAATCGTCAAGGATTTCTGTCATACTTCTGGACAAAATAAGTTAGTAGTTAGTAGACCCACGAATTACGATAAAGCCAAAGTACTTTTAAGTCTCCAGGTAATCCACGGGATTCTAAAGTGTTTTTATTTTGGCTGGATTATACCTCACTTACAATAGTCGGTGGAACTATTCCTAACACGCTGCATTGGAATTGAGTTGCTCTCAAATTCGAATCGTCGTAAAGTTCCGTTAGAACTGGAATACGGAAATGCGATTGCACCTGTTTCTGGATGAGCAAACTACGTAGTTAGGCAAAGCTAATGTATGGTTGTATTGACTTTTGCATTTTGATAAATTTAGACTGCTTGTCCTTTTGATAAGAAATCACAATCATTGGCAGCTCTTGACCTCTCCATGGCCCCATTGTACAGTGAATTATAGTCTTATGTTAGCAGGACATGTATGATTTCTTCATGATTATAAAAACCGGGAGGAAAAAATAACCTTGTAAAAACGGAAGTGATTTGTTTCGTGAATCACGTTTGCAATCTCCAAACAAATTGTGTAGCGCCGCGTCGAAGAAGAACCTAAGAGGGGTTTTCAAATATATGGACATCTAATTTGAGCTTGGAAAGTCTCTTAGCTCTGTGTTGCCTACAGCCGAGGCCAGAATGTATCTAAACTAATACATAGTCCTAGCCTAAAAAAATAAATAAAATAAAAAAATATCTGGCAAGTGCCATTGCAACCGAAGGCTTCTTGTTGTGCCTTCGTTGTTTTTGATAACGCAAACCGAGAAACCAGCATTTTGTATCTTTCTTTATTTTTTTTTCTTCTCAGTTTCTGCATGACGTTGCAGGTTCAGAAATCCAGAGCCTTAAAGAAGTGGTCATTGCAGAATTGCCCAGGAAAGAACCAAAGCGTTTCCACTTCTCTCACCAAGGCCCGCACACCCCTCTAATTATTATTCTTTTTTAAATCTACCAGGAAAAAAAAAGAAAGAAAGAAATACAGAAGTTTTTCTGCACTGTCCTCCAAATGTTACCTGTGGGGGGTGGGGGATCTTTATTTTATATTGAAGATGTAGATATTTCTGAGGTTGCTTCTGTCTTAGTATCGAATAATAGGAATACTCCTCCTTTCCCCCCCCCCTTTTTTTTTTTAAATTGTGAAACTGAATTAAGACATGAGCACAGATCTCTGTGGTCAGACGTTTCTTATTCCACTGTATTGCTTGCTTGGTAAACATCGTGCTTCGCATGACGAGTGTTTCTCTTCTTCTTTTCATACTCCCAATTATGTCTTAGCATCTCACTTTATGAAAAGAAGGAGATCGATACCAGTCTGTACAGGTTGCCTCGTTAAAACAGCTTATTTTAAAAGGAAAGAAAAACTCATGCTGGCGAGCCGAGCATCCGGTGGTTTATTGCCTTTGTAAAAGAGACCACGATGCCTTTGTATTTGCTGTTTGCACCTCCTACGATCGATTCCATACGTCGACTTTTGCCATGTTTTGCACATTGTACTGTATATACGTAATGCATATTGTATTTTTTATATGTGTAGTACATTTATCATATATTTTGTACATAGTGGCAAGATTGTAGCTAAGGGGAAAAAAAAAATATCTCAGCAATTTTTGCAAGTCGTGTGTCAAATAAAACAAGTTAATAGATGTGCTGGTTATTTGTGATGTTTGTTTAACAACTCCTGTCTCTTAAAAGGGGATATTCTAATCCCATGGAAAAGTGGATGGGCCGTACATCCAGATCCAAAGAAACGTATAAGCTATCTAAGTATTGTATTATACTATTATAAGTCGTATTTAATTTCTCTAAAGGAGCATGAATGATGGGTGGGGATGAGCGACTGAACAGACAGAAGAAAGTTTCTGAACCTCCATATATACAATGCGGAATCCAGACTTTGCCCTACATTTAGCGGGCACGTTGAAATTAACAAATTCAATTAGCCATTACCGAATTAAGTCCTGCCGATTTCATTGAAACTATTCTAAACCTGACAGTTGTATTGATCTCATCATTTTCATTTTGTGTTTTGCTTAAAGGTTGAAGAGTTGCTCATGTACTGTTAGGTTATTGTGAGGAAGGAAAAGAAGGAAGGAAGGAAGGAAGGAAGGAAGGAAGGAAGGAAGGAAGGAAGGAAGGAAGGAAACTGTGCACACAACTCTTGTAAGCAAATGATGGAACAAAAAGATGGTGATGTGTTTAAAAAAATGAATGTCCTAATAGAACTAAGAAAACTTTGTATTGCCAGAAAAAAGGAATGGGAACAGAGCATTGGTGGTTTCACTTACCTTTGCTACCGGTTCGCTCTGCTTGCACAGAGCGTATTTGATGACGTCTTGACGGGTGGGTAGAGCCTCCCGCCGCCGCTACCGATTCACCCGAACCGGTAGCAACCCACCACTGGAACAGAGTATAAATCTATCCCTATGGAAGCAACTCCTCAGAGAAAGAAAGGGATGTATACAGAGGTGGGCAGCACATGAAGTAACAACCGGTTCGCCCAGCACCAAAAAAGTGAGCGGCCTTCCACGCATGTGCTTAGCTCAGACATGTGGCTTGCACGCATGCGCCCGGCTTAAAAAACGCTGCTAAATAGGATGGCATAGCGCCGGGGCGGGTGGGCGGCAGGTCACCACTACCGGTTCGCCCGAACTGGTCCAAACCGGCAGCAGCCCACCACTGGATATATAGCAACCCCAATTTCAACTGAAAGTCAAGGGCTGTTACCTCACCTGCTGACATCACAGAGATACTGACATGATCCAGATATTTCTCTTTGTTTCCAGTGCTCCTCATCTGAAGGGAGAGTTTGAGTATCGGAGAAAGAAAAAGGGACTTCTCTCTCAATATGGAGGTGACTCGATATCAGTTCTCTAGGTCAGCCAACAATTCTGAGGAAAGGTAAATTAAATACGTCCAAAATAGTAGGGACAAAGACCGACTCAGGAGTTACTGGGGGCAGGGGACACATTTGATCTCGTTCAAATGTGGAAATATCTAGAATTGCTCAAGATTTTGTTCTCAATATTTAATGTGAGATTAGGCTCAGGGGTGGGCTTCAAAAATTTTAGCAAGGGGTTCTCTGCCCGGTTGCTGGGTGGGCGTGGCCATGGTGGGTGTGGCCTAGTCATCTTCCTGCACCACAGCGGGGGTGGTGGTAGTTTTTGCCCTCCCCAGGCTCCAGAGGCTTTTTTCGAGCCTCTGGGAGGGCAAAAACAGCTTCCCCAGGCTCGGGAGGCCCTCTGGAGGCCAGAAACAGGCCCATTTCCGGTCTTCCCAAACTTCCGGTAGGCCCGTTTTTTGCCCTCAGCCTCTGCGCATGCTCTGCACTTACCTGCATCCAAAACGGGCTGTGTGGGGACTCTTAGGAGGGGAGGGGCCAGCCAGGAGTGGGATTTGGGGGTTCTCTGAACTGCACAGAATCTTAGCTAGAGGTTCTCCCGAACCCCCAGCAGCCCACCCCTGATTAGGCTGTATTAAAATAGGTTGAAGACTAAAATCTAGAAACCATAAGATTACGTAAGATAAGGAGAGAGATTCAGTATTATTAAAGGGGGGAAAAAACGGCACTTGTTTATGCATTAGGAAAAACAAATATTTTGTGGAGCACAACAAAGGAGTGAATTACCCTTTTTAATATATATATATACCGATACTGTTTAAAAAAATATTTAGGAAATATTTAGAATGTTAAGTAGATACAAGCATGAAGGGTGACTGATGAACAATTTATATTATGCACAGTATCTGTTCTAAGGAATAGTAAACAACAATTACACATTTTGTTCTGGTTAGTTATATGAAACAAGTAAATCTTAGGAGCTAAACATAAATCAGAAGAAAATATTTGAACTGGTTATTATACTAGCAGAAAAGAAGCACAGACGGTGGGACAAAATAAATACTTGAACTGCATTTTGAATAACAGATATAAAAATAGCATAGAAAAATGGAACCGGACTGAACAGAGGAGAGTAGCTTTTAAAATAAATAAGTGTGCATGTTTGCTGTTGGACTTAAAATTGGAACTGGGTTGTATATCTGGACTCAAAGTCCTTGGTGCGCTTTGAGTTTGGTTGTTTTCTTGCAGACGTTGCATCGCCCAACTAGGTAACATTATCAATGCTAATAACCAAACTCAGAGAGCACCAAAGGAAGGCCCCCGCAGTTCATTCCGGAGCTAGAAAAACAATGTAGAGATTGCTACATTGAAAGAAATACATGAAGATTGCTTTGAAAGAAATATTCCAAAGTTGTTACTAAAAAAGCAAGGCAAAAGCATTTCTTAAGTCCCAGAAAAGGAGATAATATTAGGAAGACACATCGTGGTGACTCTTTACTGGGATAGAAGAGAGAAGGGAAGAAAACCACAAACTTTCAAGATCCTTCTACTGTAATCTATCTCAGTAAAATTAAGCAGTGGTGAAATTCAAATTTTTTTACTACCAGTTCTATGGGTGTGGCTTGGTGCGTGTGGCAGGGGAAGGATACTGCAAAATCACCATTCCCTCCCCACTCCTGGGGGAAGGATATTGCAAAATCTCCATTCCCACCCCACTCTGGGACCAGCCAGAGGTGCTATTTGCCAGTTCCCCGAACTACTCAAAATTTCCACTACCGTTTCTCCAGAACCTGTTAGAACCTGCTGGATTTCACCCCTGCTCAGAAGGCAGACAGACAATGAGCAAAATGGCAGCCAGGAGAGTAGAAACCTGTGAATTGTGGATATACAGATGAAATATATATATATACAGGAAAGAGCTGAAGAAGCTTCTTGGATGAGAAGCGAAACGTCTTCAGAGAAAAACCAGAAAATCCAGTTGCCTCCTGAAAAAAGCGCCTTTGGGACAACCATGACCTGGATGATGGAGAATCTCCATAGACATTTATTCGGAAATTATATTACACGATGGCAGTGCAATAATGCTTAATTCCCCACCTTGTCCCGAAGGTGCTTTTTCAAGAGGCAACTGGAATTTCTGGTTTTTCTTTGAAGACGTTTCACTTCTCATCCAAGAAGCTTCTTTAGCTCTGAGAAGCGAAGTTTTTTGGATGAGAAGCGAAACATCTTCAGAGAAAAACCAGAAAGTCCAGTTGCCTCTTGAAAAATAAGCGTCTTTGGGACAACTATGACCTGGATGATGGAGAAACTCCATAGATTCTGAAACGTGAAAATACAGAAATACCATGCATTGAAGGTGTCCTCCAAAACAGAGCAGTGGTGAATACCATCTGGAAATAAACAATTAAAATATCTTCAATTAATTTTACGAGAAAAATTTCAAAGCACATACAACACTGGAAAATGAAGCCTATCCAGAAAAATCTCAAGTGTGCGATTTGGCAAAAATACAGTGTTCTTATCTCAAGCAATAACATCAGAAGAACCAAGCGTATTGAATATCTTCTTTAGACAAGAAGAAGAAGGGGAGAAGAAATTTCTTGTAAATTTCTATATCAATCTCCTAATTCATATCATATTTGGACAAGTTGTGGCATGCGGTTGCAATGTTGATGGCACCAGCACAGTAGAACAGTCTCAATCTGGACAACTTGAAGAGACATGGACTTCAACTCCCAGAATTCCCTAGAGCAGTGATGGAGAACCTTTTTAGCACTGAGTGGCGAAAAAGTTGTGTGGAAACGTCGTACGTGTGCGCACACACTCATCGGGGCTGCGCTTCGGAGAAGCCAAACTTCTGAGGGCGCATGCACACCCGACGATCAGCTGGCCCGCATGTGCAGGGCGGTTTTCGGCACTGCCGCGCATAAGAAGGGATTATGCTCTGGAAAAGCCAAACTTCTGGGTTCTGGTGCGCATGCACACCTGACAATCAGCTGGCTGGCACGCATGTGCATGCTGGCTTTTGGCACTGCTGCGTGTGCGAAGGACAACAGATCATTGCACATGCATGCGTGTCAGAAACCCAGAAGACAAACAGGCAAGGCCGCAGGTGCCGGAGGACATGGCTTCGTGTGCCACTTTGGGCACGCATGCCATAGGTTTGCCATCACAGCCCTAGAGAGTCCACATCTCTTCAAGTGGTCCAGGTTGGGAAACACTGCAGTAGAATGATCTTTAGCCTGGCTTGTCCTTCCTATGAAGCCTCCCTCTCTTCTCCTCAAGGTGCATTTTAATCTTCTGATCCATCTGTTGTATTTTCAGGGTCCTCGCTCACTATAGTGAGGTGGTACTATTTGTGGAAGGGGAACCAGATATTCCAGAAGAACTCCAAGGTGCCAAGAAAGGGATGCTGTACCTCACTCAATACAAAGTAAGAACTCTTGGCCCAGATGGCCGAAGAAGGCAATAGCTTCTCTTTGATAAGAAACATGACATTTATGGTGGGTGAACCTGACCAGGATCATTTTCAGTCTTGAGAGAACTGAAAAGACAACTGAAAAGGGACGCGGTGGCTCAGTGGCTAAGACGCTGAGCTTGTCGATTGTAAGGTTGGCAGTTCCAGCGGTTCGAATCCCTAGTGCTGCGAAACAAGGTGAGCTCCCGTGACTTGTCCCAGCTTCTGCCAACCTAGCAGTTCGAAAGCACGTAACAAAATGCAAGTAGAAAAATAGGGACCACCTTTGGTGGGAAGGGAAGAGCGTTCCGTGTGCCTTTGGCGTGTAGTCATGCCGGCCACATGACCACAGAGACATCTTCAGACAGCGCTGGCTCTTTGGCTTTGAAACGGAGATGAGCACCGCCCCCTAGAGTCAGGAACGATTAGCACACATGTGCAGGGAAACCTTTACCTTTACCTTTTTAGGTTAGTGTTTTCCTCCACCAACTAACTTGTAAGCAGCCCATCTTGTATTGAAAAAGATGTTAGACTTATTTTACAGGTAGTTCTCGACTTTGCAACTAAAGTTGAACCCAAAATTTCCGTTGCTAAGCAAGGTAGTTCTTAAGTGAATCATGCAGTCATTAAGCAAATCTGGCTCTCCCCCCCCCTTGACTTTGCTTGTCGGAAGCTGGCTGGGAAGGTCACACATTGTAATCACGTGACCCACCCACACACACACACACCTGGGACACTGCAACCATCATAAATATGAGCCAGTTGCCAAGTGTCCAAATTCAGGTGACAATGGAGATTCTGCAACGACCATGTAAAAAGTAGTCCTAAGTCACTTTTTTCGTCGTAACTTTGAAGGGCCACTAAACAGATGATTCTGAGTTGAGGACTACCTGTACTTTCCTTAAGTTTTGGAGTGGATACATTTGTAGTCCAAACGAATGGGCATTTGTTTCCCAGGCTAACTCTCGTGAAATTATCCTGATTTCTTTTTTTCTTTTTTAAATAAAATACTATTTTGTTTATATCTATACAATGTTTACAGTCAATATAATTTTACATTTAATAAAAATCTGAGAATTTTTTTTTAAAAAAATCAATGTTTATTTATTTATTTATTTTTCAAACTTCTATACCGCCCTTCTCCTTTCGGACTCAGGGTGGTGAACAGCCAAGATTAAAAAACATTTATAGTTAAAGTTTAAAGTTAAAAATAAATTTAAAATAATTAAATAAATTTGGCCTGTAATTTAAAACTTTTCAATTAAAATCCATATCAAATTTTAAAACCAGCCATAAAATGTTGCAGGTATTTACATACAAATGCATTCAACTTGTAAAAAGATGTTAAAATAAATTATCCTGATTTCTTGATTGCTTTCCTAGATAATATTCCAGCATAAAGATAAGGGATCAACCATCATTCGTTTTCCACTACAGCTGTTGGGAGATTGCTTTCTGGAGGAAGAGCCCGACTCCAAACCTCAACACATCAAAGGAACTCTGAGTAAGTGCCATAATTTATTGATCTCTCTTTAACAGCTGCTGTAAAGTACTAATTCTCTCTGCAGCTCTCTTTCTCCCTCTCTTTAAGTCAGGGGTCTTCAACCTTGGCAACTTTAAGACTTGTGGACTTCAACTGCCAGAATTCTGGGAGTTGAAGTCCACAAGTCTTAAAAGTTGCCAAGGTTGGAGACCCCTGGTTTAACGTCATCCAGTGGGTGGAAATGTTCAGGGAAGTGAGCCTCAGGTTCCCCGGGGCTCGGCGACGGGACCGAGGCGACGGCGGAGGTTCCCGACCGAGGCCCGTGACCCCCGTGCCGGGATCCCGTCCCACGCTGCCCACGCATGCCACCCAGGTCACTATGATGATAATTCCCATTATTTGTCTCCGTCCCTTGATATCAAAAACGAGTGAATCAGAAGAGGAAAGTAGTAACAAACTCTTGGGGAAGTCCTAAAGTTTTTTTTTTTTTTCAGAAATGCAACATTTTGTGCAAGGAAGTGTCCTAAAATCAGGAGCGAAAGATGCTCACGCAGAATATTTATTGGGTGAGGGAGAAAGAAAAGGCAGATGGGAAAATGAGGGTTAGGGTAGGAGAGAGGTATTGAAGTGGCTGAAAACCATTCCATAACGCTTGTTGTCAGGGTTCCAAATAACACCCCCAACGAAAGAAGACTCCAAGGCTTGAAGTTCCTCAAAGTTCCATTTTATTAGAAATGTTATATTGGCACATCTGGGGAAACCCAAATCTGAAAGCTTCCAGGTTTTCCCCACCCAAAGGTCTCTGCCCAGGACCCACATGTCTGCTGTCAGGGTTCCGATGGATGCCCTAATTAAATCATGAGTCTCGAGCCAAGCTTCAAAAGAAATCCATGTATTTATTAGGAGCTTCATGTCCCCATGTTCCTAAGTGAAGCCAGCTCTGACCCTACGTAATTTACGCTCCAATTATGACCCTGTTTCCCCCCTCTCCCCAGAGTGGGGCATCAATCACATTCGCCAACGGAGCAATTTCGTGGGTTGTAGAGGTCACTCCCCTTGCTGCTGTAGGTAACCCTAGGATACAGCCTTGAGAGAGATAAGCGTGGAATATGCATCTGTTTTTGCCTGCTGTGCAGTTTCACTGGTTTCCCATCCCCACTGACCTATGGCAACTCGAGAGGAGGCCAGGGATGCATTGTGAGTTGACATCCATCACATGGTCCAATCAAAGCATCGTCCCAACTGGTGATGCCTCCCAGTCTCTTCTCTTTCTTTTAATCTGGTCTTCCATTTTCCGGTGTGAGCATGCGCGCCAGCCAGCTGATCAGTGTATGCGCATGTGCGGCAGTAACCGGAAGACTTGCTGGCTGATGCACATGCACCGAAACTGGAAGTGCCTTATTTGGCGCACTCATGCCTCTCAGGCAGCTCCTCTTCCTGGTCGCGGCCCTTGGTGCCAAAAAGGTTTGCCATCCCTGGATTATACCTTCTGTAATGAGGTCTCAGGCTTGACTTAAGATCTCAGTGGACTTTTCTTCTCAGCTTCCACCCAGGGACTTCTTGCTTTCAAATTCACTTTCCAGTATGGAGCTTCCGATTGCCTAAACATGATCAAAGATCTAGTAGATTCAGGTAAGTTGTTTTCCGACTAAGATTTATTCTTTCTTCTCTGCTCTCTCTGGCAAGAAAGGAAAGGGGGCCTCATGATTCAAAACGAGCAAGTAGTCAAAAGGCAAGAGGTTTATTTTATGTTTTACATTTCTACAGAGAGCATCGTGGTTTATGAGTTATTATCCATCCACGTTTCTCCAACCTGATGGCCACATGGGAGATACAGCCCAACAAAACTGGAAAGAACTAGGTTGTGGAAGGATCCACAAAACCACCGAAGGAGAGTGTAGTAATGCCACAATTAATTAACACCCCTGTGATAACATGTTAGACTAGGATTCAGGAAACTTTTAACAGATTAACAGAGTTGGAAGGGACCCTGACAGTCATCTAGACCAGTGGTCCCCAACCTTTTTATCGCCGTGGACCAATCAGCCTTTGATAATTTTACCGTGGCCCGCTGAGCGCGCGCAGGGGTGGGGGCTTTGGGCCACACGTGCGTACCTGCGCGGGGCTCTCTTCCCTGGAGCCTTTGCGCACGGCCCAGGAGCTTTTGCACACAGCCCAGGAGCTTTTGTGCACGGCCCAGGGGCCTTTGCGCTGCAGCGTTCATGTCCCCCGGCCGCTGTGCGGCCCGGTGCCAGGTACTCCATGGCCCGGCACCAGTCCGCGGACCGGGGGTTGGGGACCACTGATCTAGACCACCACCATCCCTCCGCCCAAGCAGGGGATCCTACACCACTTCTGACAGATGGCAGTCCAGTCATTTCCTGAAAGCCTCCAGTGATGAAGCTCCCACAACTTCCAAAGGCAACTTCTGTTCCATCGGTTGATTGTTCTCACTGTCAGAAAATTTCTCCTTATTTCCAGGTTGAATCTCTCCTTGTTCAGTTTCCATCCATTATTTCTTGTCTGGCCTTCGGGTGCTTTGGGATATAGTTTGACCCCTTCACCCTCAGAGTTCCAAAGGTGCTTTTTCAAGAGGCAACTGGACTGGTTCAAATATTCATAAATCCATAACATTTGCAGATGATGTGAACAGAGAGCATGGTCCCTATATCTACGCTAGCGTTATTTCTTTGAAAGAAGATAAGATAAAGATAGATGGATACATGGATAGATAGATAGATGGATGGATGCATGGATGGATGATGGATGGATGATGGATGGATGCATGGATGCATGGATGGATGATGGATGGATGCATGGATGGATGATGGATGATGGATGGATGGATACATGGATGGATGATGGATGCATGATGGATGGATGCATGGATGAGATGGATAGATAAAGAGAAGAATCTCCAGTTGAAGTCTCCAATACAGGCAGTTCTCAATTCACAACCACAGTTGAGCCCAACACTTTCATTGCTAAGTGAGAAAATTTGTTAAGTGAGTTTTGCCCCATTTTACGATCTTTTTCATCACATTCGTTGAGTGAATCACTGTGGCTTGTTGTTAAAATTAATCACACGGTTGTTAAGTGAATCTGGCTTCCCCATTGACTGTTAGAAGGTCGCAAAAGGGGAATCATGTGACCCCGGGACACTGCAACCATCATAAATGCGAGTCAGTTGCCAAGCATCTCAATATAAATCCTAAGTGTGAAAAAAATGGCCGACAGCCACTTTTTTTCAGTCCTGTTTTAACTTTGAACGGTCTCTAAGGGAACTGTTGTAAGTCGGGGACCACCTGTATACCTTAAAAACCAAATGATTGCATATACCTTTAAGTTCAGTGATGTGCTACCTTCCCCTTTTTCGTTAATGCAACAGATATTTTGAAAGAGGCTACAAATCTCCAAGAATACCCCACCGCCTCCATCTATACCTACGCTCACCCTGCTGCACCACAGGCAACCCGTAAGTACAGTCGTGCGTTCTTTGTGTTACCAAATTTCCCTTTTTTTAAAAAAAAAATAAGTTTTTAATTTTTTAAACAAACAAACATTTAATACATCAGTCATTCCTTCCATGTGACATCTCGGTTTTGTCTCCAATCATTCCTCTTTTTGTTATTTCTTCTGTCTTCATTCTCATCCAATCAATTACAACAATTCATCACTAACAAAATATTCTGATTATAGCATTTTCAAACATTACTAGTAATTTACTTATTTGTATCTCTTTTCTAACCAATAGTAGAATTGATTCCATGTCTTCTGGAAGTATTCTGAATCTTCTCTTTCTTTCACCATCAAAGTCAATCTATTCATTTCTGCACAATCTAAAAAAATTTTTTTTAAATTACTTCTCCTTCCAAAGGTATTTTCTCTGCTTTCCAATGTTGTGCATAAACAATCCTTGCAACTGTTATTACATGTATAATCAAATAAATATTTTCTTCGCTAATTTTTTCTGGTAGGATACCCAATAGGAACAGTTCTGGTTTTAAATCAATAAGTTGTTGTATCATTTCTTTCAGCCATATCTTAATTTTATTCCAATAATTTTTAGCTTCTGGACATGTCCACCACATATGTAATAAGAACCTGGTAACTGGTGACATCTCCAACATTTAACTGATTTATCTTTAAACATTTTTGCCAATTTCTCAGGGGGCATATGCCATCTATAAAACATTTTATATTGATTTTCCTTATATGTAGTGGACATTGTTAATTTATAATTCCTTTCCCATAACTGTTGCCATTTATTTATATCTATTGAATATCCAAAATTCTTTGCCCAGGCTATCATTGTTTCCTTTACTTGCTCCTCCTATGTTACCAAATTTCCCAAAGGTGCTTTTTTTTCCCAAGAGGCAACTGGACTTTCTTGGTTTTTCTTTGAAGACGTTTCGCTTCTCATCCAAGAAGCTTCTTCAGCTCCGACTGGATGGTGGGGGAATGGAAGGATTTACACTTCTTGCAGACAGCTGGTCATTGGCATCCTTTTGGAGAGTCGTTGAGGCCACTTGGAGGTTTATCTGTGTCCTCAGGGTCCACCTGAGTAGTGCAAACATTGTGGAGCCTTCTTGGAACTGCTGGAAAGGACTGTGTTGTGGAGCTGTGCTTTCTACCCTGTGTCCCTTCACAAACACAAGAAAGCTCCACACTCATTTGCATCTAGAGATAGATAGATAGATAGATAGATAGATAGATAGATAGATAGATAGATAGATAGATAGATACTGTAGATTGATAGATAGATAGATACCCCGTTTTCCCGAAAATAAGACCCTGTCTTATATTTTTTTGAACCCTGAAATAAGCGCTTGGCCTTATTGCCATGTGCTCAAAAGCCCGGTTGGGCTTATTATCAGGGGATGTCTTATTTTGGGGGAAACAGGGTAGCAATGGTTCTTCAAAACTGTCTGGCTGATGTTTTTTTCACCCTTATTTGTAGAGAAGGGATTGTCTTGCGTGGAAAGCATGTGCTCCCCTCCACCTAGCTGGGGCTCCTTAAAACTCTGTTACTGATGTTGTCTTTTCTTTGCAAAAATAGAAATTTATTCTCAACAAGACGCATTTCGTTTTTAGGTGCAAGGAACCCAACACAGTCACTTGTGTGTCTAAGGAGCATGGTTTTTCTGTCCGGGCAGTGGCAATGACATTTGAATTCCTGGGAGGGCGAAAATAGAGAAAGCACCTCCCTTCCTTTGACCCACGCACAGATTGTTCGCTCACAGTTCCCTTTGCTGGAGGACAGAGTTGTCCCCAGTCCTAAGGGCAGCCGGCTGAGAAAGATAGGGAGAAGATATGCCGTGGCTCACAGGTATCTCTGTAGGCTTCTTATCTGCCGTCTGAGGCATCTGAGACCGGGCTTAAGAGGCTAAGTCAATATCCACATCGGTCTGCCCCTTCGGGGGAGAGTGACAGTTCAGTGACGAAGCTGTGTGGGTTCTATCTATCAGGTCTCAAAGACCTGATATTAAAGCTTGCAAAGTTCTTGTTTTGGATCCCACTTGATCAAAAGCGTCCATGGGAGAGACCTAAAACAAGATGGAGGAATGGCATCAAGCAAGTATGGCAGGCCCAGTTGGCAAAAGAAAGCTCAGGACCGCACGGGTTGGAAACAGGCGGAAGAGGCCTTCATCCTGCAGTGGATAGATAATGGCTAGGAGGAGGAGGAAGAGTTTGGAGGAGCAGAAGGAGGAGGAGGAGAAGAGGAAGGAATGGAATGGAATGGAGTGGATGGAGTGGAGTGGAGTGGAGTGGAGAGAGTAGAGTAGATAGAGAGAGTAGAGAGAGTAGAGTAGAGTAGGGAATAGAATGAATAGAATAGAATAGAATAGAATAGAATAGAATAGAATAGAATAGAATAGAATAGAATAGAATAGAATAGAATAGAATAGAATAGAATAACAGAGTTGGAAGGGACCTTGGAGGTCTTCTAATCCAACCCCCTGCTTAGGCAGGAAACCCTACACCACTTCAGACAAATGGTTATCCAATATCCAAACAGTTATCCAAGAAGAAGGAGGAGAGGAGGAGGAGGAGAAGGAAGAAGAAGAGGAGGAGGAAGAAGAAGAGGAAGAAGGAGAAGGAGAAGAAGAAGAAGAAGAAGAAGAAGAAGAAGGAAGAGAAGAAAGAAGAAACAAGAACAAAGAAGAAGAAGAAGAAGAAGAAGAAGAAGAAGAAGAAGAAAGAAGAAGAAGAAGAAGAAAAGAAAAGAAGAAGAAGAACAAGAAGAAGAACAACAACAACATCAACAACAACAAACATCTTCTGATAGGTTCCAGGCTAGAAAAGTTTAAAGTAGCCACTGCCCTAGCCAGTTAGGTCACTGTTCTACAGATAGTCCTTGATTTTACAACCATTCCTTTGGCAACCTTTGGAGTTACAGTGGCCTGAAGGAAGCGACTTATGACTGGTCCTTGCACTTATAACCATCACAGCATCTCCATGGTCACGGGATCAAATCCGGGCCCTTTGCAACTGGCATGTATTTACAATGGTTGCAGTGAACAGATTGCCATTTGCGACTTTCCCAGCTGGCAATTTCCAACAAGTAAACTCAATTGAAGAAGTTGGATTTGCATCATAACTGCGTAATTCATGTTAGCAACTGCAGTGAGTTTCTTAACAATCATGGCAAAAAAAAGGTTACAAAATCGGATGTGACTCAATTCACCACCATTTTGCTTGGCAATGAAAATTCTGATCCCAACTGTGGTCGTAAGTCGAGGATTACCTGTACAGGTAGTCCTCAATTTACGACCACAATTGAGCCCAAATATTAACTAATAAATATTAACTAATAAAGTTAAGTGAGGCATTTGTTAAGTGATTTGCCCCCCATTTTACGACCTTTCTTGCAACATTGTTAAGTGTATCACAGTCGTCGTTAAATTAGTCACACGGTTGTTAAGTGAATCTGGCTTCCCCAACCGACTTTGCTTGTCAGAAAGTTGCAAAAGGGGATCATGTGGCCCCAGGACACTGCAACCGTCATAAATATGAGTCAGTTGCTAAGTGCCTGAATTTTGATCATGGGGATGTTGCAAAGGTCCTAAGTGTGAAAACCGGTCATAAGTCACTTTTTTCAGTGCCATTGTAACTTCGAACAGTCACTAAATGAACTGTTATAAGTCGAGGACTACCTGTACTCTGTTCTTGGATAGCCTGCTATGAGGTTTGAGTAGTCATTCATGCCACACACTCCGTACATCAGGCAGGATCAATCAAAACTCAATTTGAATGGCAGTTTTTATCAAGATCATTTTTCACTTTTAGTAGAAGAGTTCAGTGGCTAAGACGCTGAGCTTGTCGATCGAAAGGTCTCAGCGGTTCGAATCCCTAGTGCCGCGTAACGGGGTGAGCTCCCGTGACTTGTCCCAGCTTCTGCCAACCTAGCAGTTCGAAAGCAGGTAAAAAATGCAAGTAGAAAAATAAGGACCACTTTGGTGGGAAGGTAACAGCGTTCCGTGCCTTTGGTGTTGAGTCATGCCGGCCACATGACCACGGAGACGTCTTCGGACAGCGCTGACTCTTCGGCTTTGAAACAGAGATGAGCACCGCCCCCTAAAGTCAGGAACGACTAGCACATATGTGCAACCTTTACCTTATTCCATTCCCCAAGGTTACCATTTCCAAAGGATGAATCTGCTGTTCTTCCTTGCTTGATATTTTAATAGGACTTTTTGGCTCATTCACACCTTGATTCTCTTGATACAATGCTTTTTTTCACCCCACAGGTTCTCTCAACATGTTACCTCTCTGGCCCCCTCCTTACCCTGGCCCCCCAGAGCTCCCCCCTCCTTATTCTGAAGTGGAAGCAGACCCTCCAGGCAGAAGCAGAGAGGCAGGTAAATCAGTCGGGCAGATCACCAGATTGGACGCCAATCGGATCAAGGATGAAACAGGGGATTTTGACCTAAGCATCTAAAGAGAAGTTGCTCTTTAAGTTAGTGGCTCGTGCTTCATTACTGATTTCAGGGGTGGGGCTGCTGGGGGTTCGCAGGGGTTCAGGAGAACCTCTAGCTAAGATTCTGTGCAGTTCGGAGAACCCCCAAATCCCACTCCTGGCTGGCCCCTCCCACCCTGCCCCTCCCCTCCCAGGTGTTCCCCACATGGCCCGTTTTGGATGCAGGTAAGGGCAGGGTGCGCGTGGAGGCCCAGGGAGGGTGAAAAACGGGCCTACCAGAAGTTTGGGAAGGCCAGAATCGGCTCATTTCTGGCTTCCAGAGAGCCTCTGGAGCCTGGGGAGGCTGTTTTCGCCCTCCCGGAGGCTCGAGGACAACACCCCCCCACCCCCTGCCGTGGTGCAGGAGGCTGACTAGGCCATGGCCACCATGGCCACGCTCATCCAGCAAATGGGCAGAAAACCCCTTGCTTAAATTTTTGAAGCCCATCCCTGACTGATTTGTAACAGAGATGGGAAAACCGCTTTTCTGCAGTAGCAGAAGGTTGAGTTGGAAGTTTTCCAGAACATGAATGAGAGCCAGTTTGGAATAATGGCTGGATTACCATTACTCCACCTAGAAACCAGGTGGCTGTGACTTCGAGGCCTCCCTTAGGCATAAAAACCAGCTGGGTGATTTTGGCCCAGTATCTCTGTCTCTCTTGGCCTAGGAAGAAGGAAAGGAAGGGCAAACTACTTCTGTGGGAGAACCTGTTGGGTATAATGATTAAAGGCACCAGACTTAAAACCCAGAAGAGTTACAATCCTGCTTCAGACAAGCCACCTGGATGCCCTCCTCTGGCCAGTCACCATCTCGCAGGGTGGTGGCTGTTTGAAAAATAGATGATAGGGGTATTAAATATGTTCACTGCCTTGTGTTATTCCCCCCTCCCCTCAAATGCAGGATAAACATATAGTAACGATGGTGATTATGATGATGATGGCTTCCAGAAGCTGCCAAAATTAGAATAGAATAGAATAGAATAGAATAGAATAGAATAGAATAGAATAGCAGAGTTGGAAGGGACCTTGGAGGCCTTCTAGTCCAACCCCCTGCTTAGGCAGGAAACCCTACACCACTTCAGACAAATGGTTATCTAACATCTTCTTAAAAACTTCCAGTGTTGGAGCATTCACAACTTCTGGAGGCCAGTTGATCCACTGATTCGTTGTTCTAACTGTCAGGAAATTTCTCCTTAGTTCTAAATTGCTTCTCTCCTTGATGAGTTTCCACCCATCGCTTCTTGTCCTACCCTCAGGTACTTTGGAGAATAGCTTTCCTCCCTCTTCTTTGCGGCAGCCCCTGAGATATTGGAACACTGCTATCATGTCTCCCCTAGTCCTTCTTTTCAGATATCAGCCAATATAAAAAAAAAAAGTAGAAAAAAACCAAGAGTTTCAAAGAAAAGGATATTTTACTACCGGTTCTGTGGGTGTGGCTTGGTGGGCGTGGCTTGGTGGGCATGGCAGGGGAAGGATACTGTAAAATCTCCATTCCCACCCCACTCCAGGGGAAGCTTACTGCAAAATCCCCATTTCCTCCCGATCAGCTGAGACTCAGGAGGCAGAGATTAGATGGGGGCAGGGCCAGTCAGAATTTTTACTACTGGTTCTCTGAACTACTCAAAATTTCCGCCTCCGGTTCTCCAGAACTGGTCAGAACCTGCTGAAACCCACCTCTGATTTGCATGTTCAAGCATGTACACCTTAAGTGCATGTCCTTAAAGTCAGGTCTGCCTCTTTGGAAAACAACTATAGGTCACCTTGCCTGCATTAGTTATAGCAGGAAATAAACCAAACAAGGGAATGAAAAACGTACGATGTTTAAAAAGCAAAAAACAAGAAGCCAATATTCATTTTCTCTCTCTTTTTTTCCCCCTCACTTAATAGAGATCCAAGAAACCTGTTGCCATTGCAGAGGACGAATGATTCAGAATCCAGCAAACAGGCTGGACTAAACATGTTACAGGTGCCTTACATGTTCCCTTTTTCTGTAAGAACAAGAGTCCCAAAGTTGCTTTTTCAGGAGGCAACTGGACTTTAGAAACTTTTGAAAAACTTTTGTTTTTTTCTTTTGAAGGCGTTTCGCTTCTCATCCAAGAAGCTTCTTCAGCTCTGACAGGATAGTGGAGGAATGGAAGGCTGTCAGAGCTGAAGAAGCTTCTTGGATGAGAAGCGAAACGCCTTCAAAATAAAAAAAAAAACAAGAAAGTCCAGTTGCCTCCTGAGAAAAAAGCACCTTTGGGGAAACCATGACCTGGATGACCTAGAACCGTGATGGCGAACTTATGGCACGCATACCACAGGTGGCACATGGAGCCATATTGGTGGGCACTCGAGCATTGCCCTAGTTCAGCTCAGGTGCACCGGCCAGCTGATTTTCGGGCCTTCCGGGCCCACTGGAAGTTGGGAAACCGGCTGGTTCCAGCCTCCAGGGAGAGTGGGAAAGGCCGTTTTCACCCTCCCCAGGCTCCTAGAAAGGTTCTGGAGCCTGGGGAGGGCAAAAAAAGGGGTCTACCCGACCCATCGTGCCATCAAGTGCCAAAAGCGGGGGGAGCGCAGGGGGGTCACACACGCATGTGCGGGGGGCAGGGCGCATTGAATTATGGGTGTGGGCACTCACATGCATGACCCCCCTTTCCCCATTTTTGGCAGGTGGCAAAAAGGTTAGCCATCACTGACCTATAATCTCTACAGAGTGTAAGAACAAGGGCCATTTTTCCCCCTCTTCCAAATTTCCAGGTTGGGCTGCAATCTCAGCAATTGTTGAGACAGCTGTTATTAGCAGTAAGAAGTTGCCAATTTAATACAAATCAAAGCAATACAGGTAGTCCTTGACTTACGACCGCAATGTCTTGCCACAGTTGTTAAGGGAATCTGGCTTCCCCATTGACTCGGCTCGCCAGAAGGTCACAAAAGTTGATCACCTGAGCTTGGGACGCTGCAACCGTCATAAATATGAGCCATTGCCAAGTCTCTGAATTTTGATCGTGTGGCCACAGGGTTGCTGCAACCGTCGTAAGTGTGAAAAAAAACAGTCCTAAGTCACTGTTTTCAACGCCGTTGTAACTTCGAACCGTCACTAAATGAACAGTTGCAAGTCAAGGACTACCTTTACCAGTAATCTCTAGATCTACCTTCCGTCCACTTCTTTGATTGAGAGAAGCTCTGCTGGGATTTAAGAGCAGAGGTGGCGCAGTGGTTAGAGTGCAGCACTGCAGGCTACTTCAGCTGACTGCTATCTGCAGTTTGGCAGTTCAGATCTCACTAGCTCAAGGGTGACTCAGCCTTCCATCCTTCCGAGGTGGGTAAAATGAGGACCCAGATTGTTGGGGGCAATAAACTGACTCTGTAAACCGCTTAAAGAGGGGCTGTAAAAGCTCTGTGAAGAGGTATATAAGTCTAAGTCCTATTGCTATTAGGAGCCCTGGTGGCGCAGTGGTTAGAATGCAGTATTGCAGGCTAACTCTGCCCACTGCCAGCAGTTCGATCCTGACCAGCTCAAGGTTGGCTCAGCCTTCCATCCTTCCAAGGTTGGTAAAATGAAGATCCAGATTGTTGGGGACAAGATGCTGACTCTGTAAACTGCTCAGAGAGGGCTGTAAAAGCACTGCGAAGAGGTATATAAGTCTTAAGTGCTATTGCTATTTGAAATTGCTAAAAAGTATTCACATGCGGTCCATTCCAAGTATAAAGTCAATGCTTTCCTTGATACTGAACCGATGTTTGTTTGGATAGCTGACTTTTCATCCCCACATCCGTCACTGCCCAGAAAGCCAGGGAGTCACAAGGGCGCCTGTTTTCAACAAAAGGTTGACTTCTCTTCTCGCCAATGTCAATTTTACATTGGACAATGGTTATCTAATCTGATCGGACAACACACCCTGTTCCTACAAACGAATTCCTAGAAGAAACTATAATGGAAAAGCCGCCCCTTTGGGCACCAGCAGAGGCTGATTGCAGCCTGAGGTGAAATGTTATGACGTACTCCCTACTACTCCATGCCACGAGGGAGCATCTCAGCAAACCTATATGGGTTTCCTTACTTCCAGAGATCAGATCCCTAAAAATATACTACTGACCATATTGGAAGGTCGCCTTCAATAAAGGAGAAGATTTATAGCTCAGGGATGGAACTGTGGGATCCTTGGTGCTCTCTGAGCTTGGTTTTTTTTCTTGCAGATGTTTCAAGACCCAAGTTAGGTAACATCATCAGTGCTAGAAGGAGTGAGGTTTGCTCTTGGTTCCTTGAACACTCTCCTCTAGCACTGATGATGTTACCTAGTTTGGGTCATGAAACCTCTGCAAGAAAATAATCAAGCTCAAGAGAGCACCAAGGACTTCTCAGTTCTCTTCCTTCTCTCTGCAAACTCCACTCCCTTCTCGCACTGATGGTGTTATCTAGTTGGGTAATGAAACGTCTATAAGAAAACAACTAAGCTCAGAGAGCACCAAGGAGCCCTCAGGTTGCCTTCGACCAGGACGCTAAGAATGTAGTACTAATTGTAATCAAGTTGTGTACTGCCAATGCCTTGGCTTGGCTCTTGGCTCTTCTTTCCACTGTGAGTGACAACGTAAAAGCTCCTTTCTATGTTTTATGACCATCACATCCAAATCAAGAGACTTTTTTTCAAACAAACCAGGAATGAGAAGCTAATAGCAAACTACAGTTTCTGGAACTTAAGGGGAGGACTAGGCTAGTGACCTTATTTAGGTGTCCCGATCAGCAAACAGCAGGAGGAGTTTCCGCGTGTCTATTCATCCAGTCTCACCAATGAGACTGGCGCCAACGAGGAGCTGAATAGCAAGGCTGCTTGCTTAATGTCCTACACGAACATAGTCCCTGTTTTGTAACCTTTGGGTTCTTTTTTTAAAAAAAAACCTACCGTTTGAACAAAACACGGAACTCAGTCAGCTATTAACCTAGTTGTAGAACCTCGTTAGTGGTTCTGGCAATGACACTTAACAATTCTTGGGACTTCAGTTCTGGAAAATAGATAATCCACTCCTTTCAGTCTTGTCTGGGTCTCTTATCAACCCTTGTATCTCAGACGAGTAATGGCGAGCATCATTGCATCCCCATTGGCTCAGGAGGCAAACAGGAGGCGTCACTAAGTAATGTTTGGAAGGTGTGTTTTGTGATATATTGTGATATATTGTGATATATTTTGGGCGTGAGCTCAATAATGGAGAGACTTGCCTTCTTCGACTTTTGTGACCATGTCACTTTTTCTCCCCTCCAATGACTGACTGGGGACAGTCGTGAAATTGCCCCTACTTTAATGAGTTGCGTCAAAGAGTTTGCATGGCACAGCTAAGTCGAGAAACACCAAAGAATCTCATGGCTGTTTTAAGATTACAACGAACCCATCTCCTGCCCCACGATTGTGGCTTGAGATTCACCATCTATAGTCAACCCCTCCTTTGATCTCATGAAATGGAGTGGTGTGACCCCAACTTTCCAGTAGGACAAAAAAACAAGGTTAGGGATGAACTAGAGTTGAGCAAGTCGATGTTTTTGCTTATTCTCTACCCCAGAAATGTCATTTAATGACTTGGGACCATTCCCTATTTCTTAGTCCAACCTGGAAAATTATACAGTTAATGTTGCAGAGGTAAAATTGTGGGAGAAAGTCCCATGTATTTTGAGGAAAAGCAGTACAGTATTTTATGCAATTTATATCAGGAAAGAATCCAATCTATAGTTGATGCTGAACAAAATTTAGAGGGACAAGAATAGAATAGAATAACAGAGTTGGAAGGGACCTTGGAGGTCTTCTAGTCCAACCTCCTGCTTAGGCAGGAAATCCTACACCACTTCAGACAAATGGTTATCCAACATCTTCTTAAAAACTTCCAGTGTTGGAGCATTCACAACTTCTGGAAGCAAGTTGTTCCACTGATTCATTGTTCTCGCTGCCAGGAAATTTCTCCTTAGTTCTAAGTTGCTTCTCTCCTTGATTAGTTTCCACCCATTGCTTCTTGTCCTGCCCTCAGGTGCTTTGGAGAATAGCTTGACTTCTTTGTCTTTGGGGCAGCCCCTGAGATATTGGAAGACTGCTATCCTGTCTCCCCTAGTCCTTCTTTTCATTAAACTAGATGTACCCAGTTCCTGCAACTGTTCTTCGTATGTTTTAGCCTCCAGTCCCCTCATCGTCTTTGTTGCTCTTCTCTGCACTCTTTCCAGAGTCTCCACATCCTTTTTACATCGTGGCGACCAAAACTGAATGCCGTATTCCAAGCATGGCCTTACAAAGTGGTATTAACACTTCACGTGATCTTGATTCTTTCCCTCTGTTTATGCAGCCTAGAACTGTGTTGAATTCCATGCAAACTCATACATGCTCATGGAAAGAAGTGTAATGCATAAGCATAACAAATAGATAATGATAAAAGAATAAGTCCCATCGACATCAAGCCTTCCGAAGGCCTCGGCCTACGTTTTGGCTGCTCAATAGGCAAATAAAACTGCCCTGGCAAAGGAAATGCTTGGCATTGTACCAGTTGGATGGGTGAGTCTTCTAGAATAAATAGATGGATGTTTGACGGACACTGCAACTTTACATTCCAAAACTTGTCGAGGTGAAAGCGGTTGGGTTCAATTCCCTGGAAAACTGAAGGATTTGTCGGAAGGTTCGAATAGGAGAGAGAAGGAGAGGTGGGGGGGGGGAGGCAGATTCTCAAAATATTGCTGGATTACACTTCTCAGAATTCCTCCCGTTATTTATTGATTAGCTATGTTTTCTAATCCATCGCAATCTAAGCAGATTACATAGCGGATTTTTTAAAAAAATATCTGTGGTAATAATGATAATAATAAAAAAAAATAACTAAACACCCTAAGCCAGGGATGGCGAGCCTTTTTTCCTCGGGTGCCAAAAGCGCACGCATGTGTGCGATAGCGCGCGTGCCCACACCCAAATTCAATGCCCCCCATGCGCCCTGTGCCCCGTGCGTGCCGGCCCGGCCTCCCTGAAGTCTCCAGAGGCCGGAAATAGCCTGTTTCCAGACTTCCGGTAGGCCTGTTTTTCGCCCTCCCCAGGCTCCAGAGGCTTTCCTGGGGAGGGCGAAAACGGCTTCCTCCACCCTACCCCCCGGCGGCCGGAAACGGACCATTTCCCAACTTCCGATGGGCCTAAGCCAAAACCTACAACAATTAAAATAGAGAATAAAGATGTTCTTATCAAATCAGGAAATTAGCCATTTCTGCTGGCAGTTGTAATTTAGCAACAACTTTAAGGATTTCAGTTTCCTCACCCTTTAAGCACTACAGAGGAATGTTCAAACTTGGTAGCTTGAAGATGAATGGACTTCCTGCCTTTCTTCCTTCCTTGGTTCTTTGAATATCTACAGCTAAATTTCCTTCCTTCCTTCCTTCCTTCCTTCCTTCCTTCCTTCCTTCCTTCCTTCCTTCCTTCCTTCCTTCCTTCCTTATATATATGCTTTCAAGTAATTGTTGACTCCTGCCAACTGCCTGCAGTTTTCTTAGCAAGACTTCCAAAGTGATTTTGTCACTACTTCTTTCCTAGGGCTAAGAGAGAGCAACAGGCTCAGGGTTACCCAGCAGACTTTGTGCCTAAGGCAGGACTAAACTCTCGGTCTCCTTTTTTCCAGCCTGATGCCTTAACCACTGCCCCAGACTGGCTCTCCCTATCTATTTACTCCCCAGTAATTTGGCTACTAGCATCAGGCTTCAGGGCAGTGCCCCTCGCAAGCCCTGTTTGATCCTGGTTTATGAACTTAAACCTCACAGCCAATGACGAATTTCAACAAGCTGCTCTTTAAAATGTCAATTGCCTGACATAACATTATTGTGGAGGAAATCCGGAAATCCTACATGTGAAATCTGAAGAGGGATCTTGTAATCCACTGGCCAAGACTTGCTAACTCTGTGTCACTTTTGGAGACAACTGCCCTTCAAAGAGATGGCTTTTATGGTTCATTGGGGCCCTTGAAAACTACTTTTAAGGACAATATTCCAGGTGGTGGTTAAATTGCCTGCCTGAAGCCCTGGAATGTCTCTTAATAGATTAATATGGTCTTCGCTAATAATATTATAGGGGACGCGGTGGCTCAGAGGCTAAGACGCTGAGCTTGTCGATCGAAAGGTTGGTGGTTCGAATCCCTAGTGTCGCGTAACGGGGTGAGCTCCCGTTACTTGTCCTAGCTTCTGTCAACCTAGCAGTTTGAAAGCATGTAAAAAATGCAAGTACAAAAATAGGGACCACCTTTGATGGGAAGGTCACAGTGTTTTGTGCGCCTTTGGCATTGAGTCATGCCAGCCACATGACCACGGAGACGTCTTCGGACAGCGCTGGCTCCTCGGCTTAGAAACGGAGATGAGCACCACCCCCTAGAACCGGAAAACGACTAGCACATTTCTGCAAGGGGAACCTTTACCTTTTTAATAATATTATCTTAGCTAATACTCTACTGTTACAGTCCTTACGATATAGAATATTTTATTCTATTGCTACTCATGTGCCACTGTTTGTTTCTCTTCTTTTACAGATCCTGTGGAAACGGGGATAATTTATGTGGATGGTCTATTAAAATGAAAATTAATAACAGCTTACCAGCAAGTTTAGGATGTTTTCCCCTCCCGCTGGTCATTTTCAGGAACCTTCCTTCTACTCATACGGAAGGGGGTTCAAGGCATTACGATTGGGAATGGAGTCAGTTGTGCTTAATTATATTGCTCCTCTTGTGTTTGAAATCTGGCCTTGTTAGCAAATTAGGAAGCTGTGCTAGTTTTGGCTCATCTCAGGGGTGAAATGCTACCAGTTCGCTCCAGTTCGTGCGAACCAGTAGCGGCAGCGGTGCTAGGTTTGGCGAACCAATGCACTTACCTTCCGAAGGTAAATAGATTTCACCCCTAGCTCATCTGGTTGGTACCTCAAGGTCTGTATTATTGACGCTGGCTAGCAAAAGTTCTCCAGAGTTTTAAGGCAGAAATCTTTCTGAGCCGTTGTTAGAAATGCCAAATGTATTTGTTTATACAAAGTCAGCTTGCCTCCACAAACTGGGTCCTCAATTTACCTACCTTAGAAAGGATGGAAGGCTGAGTCAACCTTGAGCCTGGTGAGATTCGAACTTACAGTAATTGCAGACAGCTGGATGTTAATTACAATGCATTAGTCTGCTGAGCTATCTAGGAGCAGGACGTTTCAATGAATAGGAAGTGACTGCAGTTGAAAAACTAGGGTGGGCGCCTTTTGAGAAGGTGACACTAGAAATCAAACTTGTGTATTGCTAGGAAACATTATTTAGGACAGTTCCGCATATCGCCATTGGGTTAACTCAGGCTGATTTGAGTTTGACTGCCTGCTCCCTTCCTAGAGTTTCAGCATCAGTGAACCAGTGTTATTATGTAACATCTGAGTTCATTTACAAATTGCAGAAAAATTACAGAGTTTCTACCGAACTATTGTGATTGCTCCACACTCGATCCTTAGAGATAGATTTCATGGCAAAAGTTGATTATCTTTCTCTATGTCTCTAGTTTTTTTAAAAAATCAATTATTTTGCACAAACACAAACACATGTGGAACTTGGAATGGTGCGTACTAGCTTCCTGTAATACGGATGAATTAAGAATCTATGCAGGACTCACCTTTGCCCACAGTGCTTTCTGAAGATATTTCTAGATTATTTCCTAGCCATTGTAAACAGCATACATATTCCTCGTTTACTGACCACTTGTTCAGAGACTGTTTGAAGTTACAATGGTGCTGAAAAAAAAATAACATGCTACACGGCTTATGATATTCTCTTGAAATCTCTTTCTCTCCAATCTCTCTGCTCTATGGGGGTATGTGGGGGGAGAAGGGTTAGTCAAAAGACAGATTTGCCTATAGAAATTACTTGCCTTTTCTCTCCCCCGCTCCTGAAGAAGCAGAGAGATTGGAGAGAAAGGGATTTCAAGGGAGTAAGCTGTTTGCACAGCACTCCAGGGCTCCCAGCTTCGGGCTGCCAGTGCATCACATTGCTTGTGATGTATACAAGACAGTAAGCAGGGACTCGCACATTCCAAAGTAGGCAGGCACTCACACATTCCAAAAAATGGAGAAGTGGCTAGGAGGCAAACAAAAACTGAAGGTGGGGAAACTGAGTAGTTTTTGTCTCTTTATAGCTGGAAAGAACAGCCACGGTAACGTGATTTCCCACCTAGTGGTGAAGTTGCAGATCCAATTAGGGTCACTAAGTCAGGACTATCTTACTTTTTTTTTTTTAAATAACCGGAATAATTGTCAAGCTTGATGGCCAGCTATTAAGGAACTTGAATCCAACTTGTACTTCAATTCTCATAAGCATAGCCATTGATCAGGCTGTCTTAAGGGTTATTGGAACTGATGCCTAACACATCTGATTCCTTTAATACGTCCTTTACGTGGGCATATTCTCATCTCCTGGTCCAAACTTCACCTTCTAGAGCAGTGATGGCTAACCTTTTTGCTGTTGCGTGCCAAAAGCGGGGGGAGTGCGGGGGAGTTGTGTGTGCGTGTGCCCACACCCATAATCCAATGTGCCCCGTGCATGCGCACGCAACACCCCGTGCTCCCCCCACCCTGCTTTTGGCACACAATGGCACGGTAGGCCTGTTTTTCGCCCTCCCCAGGCTCCAGAGGCTTTCTTGAAGCCTGGGGAGGGCAAAAACAGCCTTCCCCATCCACCCAGAGGCCCTCTGGAGGCTGGAAATGGCCTGTTTCCCGACTTCTGGTGGAACTGCAAGGCCCGTTTTTCATCCTCCCCAGGTTCCAGAGCCTTTCTAGGAGCCTGGGAAGGATGAAAATGGCCTCCCTCCTCCACCCCCGGAGGGCCTCTGGAAGCTGGAAACAGCCCATTTCCCGACTTCCGGTGGGCCCAGAAGGCCCCCAAATCAGCTGCTCGTGCTGGAGCTGAGCTAGGGCAATGCTCGCGTGCCCACAGATATGGCTCCGTGTGCCACCTGTGGCACGCGTGCCATAGGTTCGCCATCACGGTTCTAAAGAATCAAATAGTGGTAGTGATTTTACAATGCTTCCATTTCCTTGAACTGGGTTGTCTAATTCCTCCTAGTAACAGAACAACAGAGTTGGAAGGGACCTTGGAGGTCTTCTAGTCCAAACCCTTGCTTAGACAGGAAACCAGTGGTGGGTTTCAAAATTTTTTACTACTGGTTCTGTGGGTGTGGCTTGCTGGGCGTTGCATGGCTTGGTGGGTATAGCTTGGTGGGCGTGGCAGAGGAAGGATACTGTAAAATCTCCATTCCCACCCCACTGCAGGGGAAGGATATTGCAAAATCCCCATTTCCTCCCAATCAGCTGGGACTCGGGAGGCAGAGAATAGATGGGGGGTGGGGCCAGTCCAGTGGTGGGTTGCCCCCGGTTTGCACCGGTTCTATAGAACCGGTAGTAAAACTGGCGGGAGGCTCCGACCCCGACGTCATCAAAATGCTTCTGCGCTTTTGCAGAAGAGTGCGCAGGTGAACGAAGCAAGCATGAGCGCAACCCCGTTATAAACCAGTAGTAAAGGTAAGTAGAACCCAGCCCTGGGCCAGTCAGGTGGTATTTACCTGTTCTCCGAACTACTCAAAATTTCCGCTACCGATTCTCCAGAACTGGTCAGAACCTGCTGAAACCCACCTCTGCAGGAAACCCTATACCACTTCATTTTAATTTTATTTATTACCTGCTTATATCATTCCAAAGCCAGCCCTCTGTGTGGGGCATGCAAAAATAATGCCCTCAAGTAAAATCAGAAACCAATCAGAAAAGCCACACAAAAGTGACCAGCTAGCAACATCAGCCATGCAAGATGCCCCAGTGATACCACATATATCACGATGCCAATGCATTCAGTCTGCAATCCGTGTCTTTGTAGGATGACGTCATGATGTCGCTTGCTCTCTCATAAATCCACCCTACCGAGGCCCATGACACAGAGCTTACATTAAAAGCACAAATGTCATACCTTTGGTTCCTCTGTCTTATTTTGTTGTTGTTGTTAGTTGCGAAGTCGTGTCCGACCCATTGGGACCCCATGGACAACATTCCTCCAGGCCTTCCTGTCCTCTACCATCTCCTGGAGTTCATTTAAGCTCACGCCGACTGCTTCAGTGACTCCATCCAGCCACCTCCTTCTCTGCCGTCCCCTTCTTCTTTTGCCGTCAATCTTTCCCAGCATTAGACTCTTCTCCAGTGAGTCCTTCCTTCTCATTAGGTGGCCAAAGTATTTGAGTTTCCTCTTCAGGATCTGGCCTTCTAAGGAGCAGTCAGGGTTGATCTCCTCTAGGACTGACCGGTTTGATCGTCTTGCAGTCCAAGGGACTCACAGGAGTCTTCTCCAGCACCAGAGTTCAAAGGCCTCCATTCTTTGGCGCTCAACCTTCCTTATGGTCCAACTTTCACAGCTATACGTTGCAAGTGAGAAAACCATAGCCTTGACTATACGCACTTTTGTTGGCAGGGTGATACTGGATCTTATATGCTACCTCCGTCACACCGCTCTGATCACCTTGTGTAATCGAAGACCAGCAATAAAGAAATACAAACCTAACTATATCAACACATCAGTAAATAACCAAATAAGCTAACATTCCTAATACAGCACTTATTGGGGGAAAAGATCCCTGTAAATCAGTAAACTCTTCCATCCCCAGTAATGTTTGAATTGCTTTCCTGGCTGTTATCTCTGGTGGTCTCGGCCCGGCAAGTTAAACTGTTCTGGGAGAACAGACTCAGCTTTCCATAAAAAGCTGGATTCCAGTCCCTTACCCGTTTCACATCCAGGTGTGTCCATATAGGTGTGAAGGTGAATGAGGGTAGGAACTCACAGCCTGCCTGCATTCTCTACGCCAGGGGTCTCCAAACTTAGCAACTTTAAGACTGGTGGACTTCAACTCCCAGAATTCCCCAGCCAGCATGGCTAGCTGGGGAATTCTGGAAGTTGAAGTCCACCAGTCTTAAAAGTTGCTAACTTTGGAGACCCCTGCTCTACACCCACAACATATGGGGTGGGTACGGTACCTTGAGGAGGTGATCTCAAGGACATACCTTTTTCGGGGGTTTGTGAAACTTTGGGGAATTATCACTGTAAATCCGTCATTTGGAAGTTCCATGCTGTATCCCATGCCAGAAAGTATAACTATTTTGACAAGTTTCTGCAAAAAAAAAAAAAAAAAGGTGGAAGCCACATGGCTTGCCTTACCACTCTGTTAGAATAGCATAGCATAGCATAGCATAGCATAGCATAGCATAGCATAGCATAGCATAGCATAGCATAGCATAGCATAGCATAGCATAGAATTCTTTATTGGCCAAGTATATATATAAATATAGCCGAGAAGCCGAGAACACCAGCCTGAAGATGACGAATGAGACTTCGTCGAAACGTCGCCAAGACATTTCCAATTTTACGTGGGAGAAGACCCGAATAACCAAAGACCTACATATAAATATATATATATATATATATATATATATATATATATAAAAATTATTATATGTATATGAAATCTTAATCTGTTCACTGCCCTGAGTCCTTTGGGAGAAGGGCAGTATAGAAATTAAATAAGTGTGATTGGACACACAAGGAATTTGTCAGGTGCATATGCTCACAGTGTGCATAAAAGAAAAGATACATTCGTCAAGAATCATAAGGTACACACTTAATGATAGTCATAGGGTACAAATAATAATCAGTCAGGAAACAATATCAATATAAATCATAAGGATACCAGCAACAAGGTTACAGTCATACAGTCATAACTTTATCCCCTAGTTTTCTTTCTTCCTTCTGTAGGACGTGTGTCTTTTCTCCTGCCGAAGATGGAGATTTTGGACGGCTGAAATCACAAAAATGCAGTCAGGAGGTGCTTCCAATTGCCCAGAGAGCTGTTTTTCAGAGTGAGATGATTAGCATATAAATTTAAAAATAAAAAAATTGAGTGCATGGAAAAAGGCTTATTCATTAATTATAAAAAAAGTGCTGTCTTGCACATCGTTTTTGTTAAAAAACAATAACCCCAGATAACCATATATAACTGTCTATAGAAATGAAGTGCCTAATGAAATTTCAGGTTTTATCTTTCTTGGCTCGAAGGTCTCTGCTGACTCAGGGGTTTTTTTTCTCCTCTCTCTCTCTCTCTCTCTCTCTGTCTCTCTCTTTGTTTCTGAGCATTGTGTCAATATGTACTTAGTGCCTATGAGATTGTATGTGTGTGTGTGTCTTTCTCATTTTGCCCTTTTGGTCTATAATTTCCAAGAATAGAATGTTAAAATAGACAAGAGAAGGAGAGAGGGGTGGGGGAGAAATCTAAATTAAATAGAAATGTGGAACGATAGCAAGGACAAACTCTGGAAGACAGGTAGAATGAAAGATGTTTCTCCATTCTCCTTTTCTCTTGGTCTTCCTTTTGTCCTGAAACTGCACATGGTTGCAGATCTATGCATGCCACCTTCTCTTGAAGAGCTTTTTGAAGTTTGAAAACTTTTTGTTACAAAGCAAATGGAGGAATTGGTGATATTTCATTAAAGAGGTGGGATCCTGCACCCTTTCGACAAGACTCCTTGTCTTAAGCAGCCATACCTATTTTGAATACAAATACCCCCCACGCTGCATTCCCACCTTTGTGATATGAAGTATATAGAATACAATAACAGAGTTGGAAGGGATCTTGGAGGTCTTCTAGTCCGATCCCATGCTCAGGAAAGGATCCCTATATCGTTTCAGACAAGTGGCTGAATCTCTTCTTAAAAACTTCCAGTGTTGGAGCATTCACAACTTCTGCAGGCAAGTTGTTCCACTGATTCGTTGTTCTAACTGTCAGGAAATCTCTCCTTAGTTCTAAGTTGCTTCTCTCCTTGATTAGTTTCCACCCATTGCTTCTTGTCCTGCCTTCAGGTCAGAGGTGGGTTTCAGCAGGTTCTGACCAGTTCTGGAGAACCGGTAGCGGAAATTTTGAGTAGTTTGGAGAACCGGTAGTAAAAATTCTGACTGGCCCCACCCCCATCTATTCTCTGCCTCCCGAGTCCCAGCTGATTGGGAGGAAATGGAGATTTTAGAGTATCCTTCCCCTCCCACACCCATCAAGCCATGCCATGCCCAGCAAGCCACACCCACAGAACCGGTAATAAAATTTTTTGAAACCCACCCTGCTTCAGGTGCTTTGGAGAATAGCTTGACTCCCTCTTCTTTGTGGCAGCCCCTGAGATATTGGAAGACTGCTATCATGTCTCCCCTGGTCCTTCTTTTCATTAAACTAGACATACCCAGTTCCTGCAACCGTTCTTCATATATTTTAGCCTCCAGTCCACTAATCAATCATATAGTCAAGGAAAGCCAAGCCAGAGATAGAGAAGGCATCTCCATGTAGCTCCAACTTTGTGAATATTCCTTTTGATCATTACTAATAACTGAATTAATAGTTCTGGCCAAACAGGTAGTGATGGCGGCCAGTGATTCGGAGAACCGGTAGCAATGGTGGTGCGAGGCACCACCCATCCACCCGGTCGTCGTTACTTCCTGGTTTTAACCAGGAAGTAACCTGTTTTTTACCTTCTACGCATAGGCAGACGGTCTGCGTGCGCGCGGCACAGGCGCTTCCGAACCGGTTGGGAAAGTAAGTAGATTTCACCCCTGATCCATACTATAGGAAGAACGAAGCCAGGAGAATTTGCCTTTCCTCCTAATGGTGGCTGAAGGGTTGACGTTTGACTTCTTGCTACCACTAGAAGTGGAAACTTAACAATTTTACCCCCTTTAAATAGTTATTTAGTAGGGAAAAGGATGCGGCCATCTTTGCATTACAAAAAGTTCAGTTAAGGATTTGTCTTAGTCTGGTAAGAATTAGGAAATTCAAATTGCTCTTCTCCCAAAAAATTTAAAAACTGGGCTATGTATCTGGTTTGCATGTAGCGATCAGAGGTGATATTCAACCAGTTCATATTGGTTCTGGCGAACTGGTAGCGGAGATCGCAGGTGAGCTCATCCACCGCCCCCGCTCTATGCCGTCCTATTTAGGCACGTTTTCGAGGCCGGGCGCACACATGGAAGGCGCACAAGTGAGCAAAGCACATGCGCGGAAGGCTAGGCGCATGAGTGGAAGGCACGCATGCGCACGGCGAACCAATGGCAAGAATATTGAAACCCACTGCTGGTAGTGATTCCAACAGAGGAGAAGATTTGAAGCTCAGGGTTGAAATGAAGAGTCCATGGTCGTTTCTTGAGTTTGGTTGTTTTTTTGCAGATGTTTCCATCGAGGAGCTGCCAAGCAAGCCAACAGTAAACAGCCCAACCAGAGAACTTCCAAGACCATCCTAGGGCAACCCACCAGAATATCAACTGAGAGCAGACCCCCAGCTCCTTACTAGCACTGATGATCTTACCTAGTCTGGGTAATGAAACATCTGCCAGGAAACAGCCAAGCTCAGTGAGCTCCAAAGACTCCTCGTGTAGTGATTTGTTTAACCAGCAGACCCAGTTGAAGTCCTAGCCAGCATGTCTAGTAGCAGGGGGTGATGGGAACTGTAGTCCACTTGTAGGCTTCCCCTCCCTGTCATAGTCACTCCAGCTAGCAGGATAGGGAATCGCCAAGGAGTACAATACGCACCAGCATCTATTCCCTAGTTTATTTTGTTACCTAGGCATTCGATCTGGCTTCTTAAAGTTGCCCCATTGACCAATGGCAGCTCTCTTGTGCTTCCATGTCTTTTGCAAACCTAGGTGGAGGTTAGACCATAGGGCCTTTGCAAACAAAAGGCAGAGATATGGCCCTTCCCCCTCCAAGAAACTTTAAGGAGGACCCATATCTTCAAGGAGAATTAATACAAGGTAGTCCCTTCTCTCCCTGCCGTAGGGTTGATTGTTGGAGACCCATATTTCTGTGTCTGTTCTGCCCCAGCTAACTAGCTGCATAGGCCGCTGACGGGCGACAACAGTGTCGGATTCACAACCACGACTCACAATCATAAGATCCCAGCTGGATGAGGCCAACGGGCATTCCAGCATTCGCCCCCCTCCCCCACCTACTGCCCCAATTGGATGCTTCTGAGAAACTCACAAGCCACATCTAACATCTTTCTAGACTTCCTCACCCCTCTCCCCTCACACCCCACTCCCCATCCCCTTTGACCTAGTATTCAAAAGATCAACCCTGAAAACTGGAGACTTCTCAGGAAATAACAACTGAATGAAAAATTGCTGGTGACCTTTTACCGCTGCACCATAAGAGAGTATTTTAACTTACTGCATCTGTGTGCGGTTTGCCAATTGCACAGTGGCAGATAGGACAGAGCTACAGAGGGTTAACATCATTACCTGGAGGATCATTGGTTGCCCCCTCCCCTCTTTGGAAGAGCTTTATAGCTCCCACTGCCTTAAGAAAGTTCAGAACATTCTTAAAGATCCATCTCATCCTGGAGACCCTTTTTCTTTTTTCTTTTTTCTTTTTGAACTATTACCCACTGGCAGACGGTACAGGACACTAAAAACCAGGACAAATAGGCTGAGAAACAGATTCTATTCTATTCTATTCTATTCTATTCTATTCTATTCTATTCTATTCTATTCTATTCTATTCTATTCTATTCTATTCTATTCTATTCTACTCTACTCTACTCTACTCTACTCTACTCTACTCTACTCTACTCTACTCTACTCTAGCAGTAACTATATTGAACTCTATAGTGCAATATTAATGCAGTATCAGGGGTTTTCAATTCAATTGCATAGAACGTGAAGAATGTGTGTTTTTGTTTTATCGTTTTCCTACGTATGATGTACACTGAAGATGGCATTTAATTTCGTTGTAGGAGGTGCAATGACAATAAAGTAAACTAAACTAAAACTCGACTTAGCTCTCCCAGCAGGGCAAAACAATATGAAGCCGGATTCATTCAAAAGTTCTAGGATATTTTTTTTTTAATCTAATGCATTTAGAGTTTTCAAAGTGGAGTTTTTAACTTGAAAGGGGAGTTTAGACTTTTACAGGGGCCAACCAGATGGGCTTGGGAAGACCCCTGCCAAGCCAACCCCAGAGAGACCACTATGCCTTCTCAGGAGGTAAGCGTTGCCCAGGTAAGCATTGCCCGGAATGCTCTTGAAAGCATTCCGTGCTCCGTGCCAGTAAATGATGGGTTAAAAGCAGCTTCTCTCTCACACACACACATAGCTGGACAAGCCACAGGGTGGTAGCTACTGAACTGCTCTATTTGTATCAGGGGTGGAAACTCAGAGGACAGCATTACCTGAGGTTGCTCGCAGACCGTTGACTATTCACACTTCAGCCCGAGAGCAACCAGAATGAGCAAAGGTAGGGTAGAACTTTTTTTTTTCCCCTCTTAAAAAAAAATGTGATTCTGTATTTTGGTTTTCCTTTGGCCTGGCCAGTCCCACCAACTCTGCCACAGAAGAAGGGCTGTTGTGGGAAAAAGAGGAAATTTTGCTGTTTTTTTTGCAGGATCCGTCTGTTCATTCCTGCAGTTTTCCTTTTTTTCCCCTCCCTTACGGGTATCTAAGGTAAAGCATTCCACGGTTCTCGGGCTGCAGCATAACATGCGTGCAGCTTTTTTGGGAGTGGGATTCGTTTCACGAAGGGTCCTAGCTTTAACCTGCGGCCGTGCGTTGCCAGTTACAAAGCTCAGCGTTGTAGGGGGGGGGCAGATCTTGCAAATATTGCCCCCTTTAACCTGGGGCTGTTTTAGAAAAATATTGCAAAACTGCTTCAAGTTTTGTAGCAATGGGCCAGAGCAGCAGGTAGGGGAAGGAGAAATGGACGAGGAGTATGATACGAGAGCAAAACTGAACGGGTATATATGATACGGACGGATTGTTCGATTTTGCTCAACTTCACGAGGGGTGATTTGACCAAAAGAAAAACGGGAAGGCAAGCAAGCAACACAACTCAAACAAAACCATATACTTCTTATGTCATCATGCCAGATTGACCTGCATGGAATTAAAGTACTAGTTATATTCTCAGAAGGTATAGACCCGTGACAGCGAACCTATGGCACGCATGTCAGAGGTGGCACGCAGCGCCCTCTCTGATGGCACGCGAGCGGTCGCCCCAGTTCAGTTCTGCTGCGCATGCACACATGCCTCCTGCCGGCCAGCTGGTCTTCAGGTCTGCCGTGCATGCGCAGGGAGGGGGCGCATGTGGGGGGGCATGCATGCATGCACAGTGGGCAGGGCGCATGCACAGGGGGCGCACGCGCATTGCATTTTGGGAGTTCGGGGGCACTTTGGGCACTCGGTCTGGAAAAGTTTATCCATCACTGGTGTAGACATTCTCTTGCCTAAAGGGATGTTAAAATCATTTTCATAGGAAACCTTCAAAACCGCCACAATGATTTCCTTCATTCTTTGGGTATTACGGGGCGCATGGTTTGCTTAACCTGGCTCTTGTAATAATGTATGGAAAATAATCGCTACGAGCTCCGCAGCACTTCTGTTCCTTATGCACATAGGAGGGAAAAAAAAAACCTATAAAACAGGAGCTTCCACTACGATGATTATTTCTCAAAAGGTACATTTCCTAGCGTTGGCCAACTTTGGAGGATGTGTTGCAGGGTGCCCGAGTTAAATAGGCGATATTTTGTTAAGTCTGGAAAAACTCCTCTTTAAAAACTTTTAAATGCATTCGTTTGCATCCATTACTTCTTTCTTTTTGGTCTAGCAGAGGCTTTTTTTGACGGGAAGGCAAGGGTAGGTAATTTTATCGATTTCCCCCATTCTCTTTCAAGCAGTTTCAGTCTTCCTAGCCTTCTGAATGTTTCTGCCAATTGCCATTACATCATAAGCATGTTAAATATGCATCTTGCCACCTTACATGCACTTTCATAGCTTGGACATGAATGGATGCCAATGTTCATGTCTATAATGTTCACGTCCACAGAAGTTTCTATTCTGGGCTTATAGACACTGGAATCTATAGCTATGGTTTTTAAATTTATTTTCCAAATGAAGGTCTTTTCAGATTTGGATGATGTTGCCAGCGATATAGCCCTATGACAGCAACACACTCGGTCCAAATGATTGGCTTAAGCGTGTTATATGGCACGCATTAAACATTTAATTTTTTTAAAAGAAAAAAAAATTGTATATTTGTTACTTTGTTTTTTTTTTAATCTTATAAATCAATCCAGAGTTTATTTGGGTTCAGGCAGCATCTAAGTCAAATAAAACCTAAACCAGCTTCTTTACCGGCTGGTAAAAAAAATGTAACTTCTATTAACTACTGTCTGAAAACAACATTTCTTTGTGATTTTAACTCAGTTTTAAATGCATTCGATTGCATCCATTATTTCATTCCTGAGGAGTTCCCGTTTTCTTGGCATTTTTTCCCCCTAGAAGTGGTTTTGCCCTCGCCGCCTTCTTCCCAGGGCAAAGAAAGAAGGTCACCCAGGGTTAACAAGCTGACTTTGGGCCTAAGAAAGGACGAGGACTTACGGTTTCCCACCTTAAGTGCCTTAACCCCTACACCAAAAAAGAAATATTGAGGTGGTAGTGTTTTATAAGTACATTCAGTGATATAGGAGGACCATCAAATCACTGCAACCTTCTGGGCCAAATCTTTTGTTGTTTAGTTGCGAAATCATGTCCGACCCATTGCGACCCCATGGACAACGTTCCTCCAGGCCTTCCTGTCCTCTACCATCCATCCTCTGGAGTCCATTTAAGCTCACGCCGACTGCTTCAGTGACTCCATCCAGCCACTTCCTTCTCCGCTGTCCCCTTCTTCTTTTGTCCTCAATCGTTCCCAGCATTAGGCTCTTCTCCAGGGAGTCCTTCCTTCTCATTAGGTGGCCAAAGTATTTGAGTTTCCTCTTCAGGATCTGTCCTTCTAAAGAGCAGTCAGGATTGATCTCCTCTAGGACTGACTGGTTGGATCGTCTTGCAGTCCAAGGGACTCGCAGGAGTCTTCTCCAGCACCAGAGTTCAAAGGCCTCCATTCTTTGGCCTTCTCAGCCTTCCTTTGTTGCTGTTGTTAGTTGCGAAGGCATGTCCGACCCATCGCGACCCCATGGACAACGTTCCTCCAGGCCTTCCTGTCCTCTACCATCCTCTGGAGTCCATTTAAGCTCACGCCGACTGCTTCAGTCACTCCATCCAGCCACATCTACCTTGACCTTAAACTATCCTTAAACTATCCTTATGCATTCGGGTTAAAAGTCTCTTTTTCGCCCTGTCGCACTGATAACTTTCAGACAAATCACATGGGTGTAGTAACATATTTATGTGCGAGTCCTTGCGTGTGCGAAGGAGCGAGAAGAGATGGGATTTCATTCCAGCGCTTTCATAAAGATGCCTCGTAAGAGAAGTCGCTGGCGTTCTTTCTCTCAATTATTACTCCGTCTTTCTTTTCGTTCAAAATTTAGAACTTCCGTTTAGTTCACCGTTTCTCAAATTGCGTCCTGTTTTTTTTTTTTTAAAAAGTGCTTCAGTGCTTCTGTTGAGTTTCCAGCCTTCAGTCGTTTGTTTGTTTTTTTGGTAGTATGTATTTATTTTATTTTATAGTATATAAAAATTCCAACTTCAATTGAACAGTGTGTTGACAAATCATTTTAGGAAGTGATATTCAAAATGTTTACAGAAATATTCATCGCATTGATATCAATATATATATTAATACCAATAATAGTCATGCTATTTGTTTAACCAATTTAACACGTCTTCCTTGTATTGCTGATCCTTTCATATATTTCCCTGTTTCTAGATCCTGTTTTTGTCAACTAGCCATTGATAAAATAAGTCCCAAGTCAAAAAATATTCCGTTTCTTTCTTTTCCTTAATTGTAGTTTTTTTTTTAACGTAACAGATTTTTTTTTAATGTAACACACAGGGATTCATTTTAAAAAGTAGTAATAGCAGGAAACAGGAATAGAAGGGATGCGGTGGCTTAGTGGCTAAGACGCTGAGCTTGTCGATCGAAAGGTCGGCAGTTCAGCGGTTCGAATCCCTAGCGCCGCGTAACGGGGTGAGCTCCCGTGACTTGTCCCAGCTTCTGCCAACCTAGCAGTTTGAAAGCACGTAAAAAAAAAGCAAGTAGAAAAATAGGGACCACCTTTGGTGGGAAGGTAACAGCGTTCCGTGCGCCTTTGGCATTGAGTCATGCCAGCCACATGACACAGAGACGTCTTTGGACAGCGCTGGCTCTTTGGCTTTGAAACGGAGATGAGCACCGCCCCCCCTAGAGTCAGGAACGACTACCACGTATGTGCGAGGGGAACCTTTACCTTTTTAATGCCAAGTAAGGTTTTATTTGTGATTCTTTCCCTAGATCACTTTGGAAGAATGAGTGGGGTAACCCTCAATATTTCTTATTGGCTGTACATTTTAAACAATTGTATGCATGCGCCAAATCTCACTGCTCCCTTCTAGAAGGGCAGCTTCCTTCCCTGCAAACAATAGTATTTGGAAAAAAAGTGTTACTGTTGTGAGTCCTGTTGTTGTTTCCTGTTACACTGAATACCAGGAGACACCACGCCATTAATTTTATCCTCTTTGGGGATTCATCAGACGTGGGTAGCCAGATGTAATTCCATGGGGCTCAAGTGCTCTACTGAGAATAGAACATAGGATACACACTGTGTGTGTGTATCCTATATATAAAGAAGGTGACGGTCAGGGTTGAAATTCAAATTTTTTTTACTACCGGTTCTGTGGGTGTGGCTTGGTAGGCATGGAAGGGGAAGGATACTGCAAAATCTCCATTCCCATCCCACTCCAGGGGAAGGATATTGCAAAATCCCCATTCCTACCCCACTCCTGGAAGAAGGATATTGCAAAATCCCCATTCCCTCCCCACTCTGGAGCCAGCCAGAGGTGGTATTTGCCAGTTCTCCGAACTACTCAAAATTTCCGCTACCGGTTTTCCAGAACCTGTCAGAACCTGCTCGATTTCACCCCTGGTGAGGGTATGAACATCATGTAAGACCTTCTTCATGAGGCTATCACATAAAGGAACTTCTGTTTCTCTGTCCTGAGATATGAAGGGAAGAAGGACTATATAGACCATTGTGCTAGATCAGGAGTGTCAAACGCAAGGCCCACGGGCCGGATGTGGGCCACAGGGTGCTTAGATCTGGCCTACGGGATCACCCTGGAAACAGCAAAGGACTGGCCCGCGATGTCTCTGCCAGGGCTTGGAGGGGGAGCTTGGAGCTCGAGCTCCATTTTTGCTAGCAGAGAGCTGCAGGAGGCCATCGCAACCGAAAACGGGGCCTGGAGGGAATGGGACACACGTGGCTCCCCTGAGCTCCATTTTCGCTGGGAGAGAGCTAGCAAAACAATCTAAAAACAAAACAAAAGAAGAAATGTTCCTTCCCCTTTTGCATTTGAGCATACAAGAAGGGACAGGAAAGGAGAAAGGGAAAGAGGAAAGACAAAGAAAAAGAACAGAAGATGGGAAGAGAGCAAGGAAGGAAAAATAAGGAATGAGGGGGAGGAAGATGAAAGGAGAAGGAAGAGTGAAGGAAAAAGAAGAAGGAAGGAAGGAAGGAAAGGAAGGAAGGAAGGAAGGAAGGAAGGAAGGAAGGAAGGAAGGAAGGAAGGAAGGAGATTATAATGAGAGTGAGCGAAGGTCTGAAGGAACTCCTGCCTTAGCACTTGGTCACCACAGGTGCCCCCGACATGAGTGATGTCGAGTTGGCCACCTCCACCCTGGTCCCGCCAACCCCGCCCCTCCAAGGTCAAATACAATCCTGATGTGTCCCTCACTGAAATCAAGTTTGACACCCCTGTGCTAGATTCACTAGGACAAAGTGAGTATTGAGCCCTACTGATCGACCGCTCTTAAGGGAAAACGGAGCTGCTGTGATTTTTGTGTGCTTCCTCCTTTCCATTACCTTCTCCTTGGGACCCCAAATTCATATCCTTAATCAGCAAGAGAGGACAGGCCAAAGAGGTTGCCCGTTCTTTTCTTTTTTCGAGTATTGCTTGTGAAGTTGATGAGATGACGAGCACAGTGGTAGTGGAAGGCCAAGGCTAGGGATTCCTCAAAAGAATCCATGGCTTCTTTTTGAGATGTGGCCAGGGGTGGGCTTCAAAAATTTTAGCAAGGGGTTCTCTGCCTCGTTGCTGGGTGGGCGTGGCCATGGTGGGCGTGGCCTAGTCAGCCTCCTGCACCACAGCGGGGGGGGGGGTTGCCCTCCCCGGGCTCCGGAGGCTTTCCTCGAGCTTCTGGGAGGGCAAAGACGGCCTCCCTAGGCTCCAGAGACCACAAACGGGCCCATTTCCAGCCTTTCCAAACTTCCGGTAGGCCTGTTTTTCGCCCTCCCCGAGCCTCCACACGTGCCCTGCACTGACCTTCATCCAAAACGGGCCGTGTGGGGACTCCTGGGAGGGGAGGGGAGGGGTGGGCAGGGCCAGCCAGGAGTGGGATTTGGGGGTTCTCTGAACTGCACAGAATCTTAGCTAGAGGTTCTCCTGAACTCCTAGCAGCCCACCCTGGATGTGGCCCTCACGCTACTGATCTGATAGTTGCCTCCCAACAACCACCACCCTGTCCTTGAGATGTGCTAAAAATTCTTCGCGTCCTTCTACATCCGCTGCTCGTTTTGTTCCAGTTTTATTAGCTTTCTTCTTATTTTTTCCTTTTAATAATCCAACAGGAGCAGCGTCCATGCTGACCCTTCTATGGGCATTGGGGTCAATGTCTTTGCATCCTGAAGCAAGAATGCTCAAAGAATGCGCAAGTCCTGAAGGTCAGAAATGCCCCAACCTATGCGCTTGTAGCTTTGACGACTGCAACGATGATCTGAGCGTCTACTGTAGCGCACGCAACCTCACCACCTTGCCGGAAGACGTGCCACGAAGTACGAGGATGTTGTGGCTGGATGGGAACAATTTCACAACCTTGCTAGCTCTGGCTTTTAGGAACCTCTCCAACCTGGAGTTTCTTAACCTTCAGGGCAATCAATTATCGGGGATCGAACAACACGCCTTCCATGGTTTGGAAGGACTCTACTCTTTGCTCCTGGAACGTAATCGGCTGAAGTCGCTGGCACCCAATATCTTCCTCCACCTTCAGAACCTGGCTTCCTTACGTCTCAACAACAACCAGTTCAACAAGATCGAGGAAGGGGTGTTTGCTGGGCTTTCCAACCTCTGGTACTTGAATCTAGGGTGGAATTCCCTGGTGGTCCTACCAGACAAAGTCTTTCATGACCTACCCAATTTAAGGGAGATGGTCCTGTCCGGAAACAAGCTGCACTACCTCCAACACCAGCTGTTCTACAGCCTCAGCGAGTTGCGAGAGCTGGATCTGAGTTGGAATTCTCTCAAGGGCATCAAAGGTAACATCTTCACGAAGCTTCAGAAGCTGCTGAAACTTTACCTGAACCAGAATCAAATCAACGCCATTGCTCCGCGGGCTTTTGCGGGCATGAAATCTCTGAGATGGTTGGATCTCTCCCACAACCGTCTCGCCACGCTTTTCGAAGACACGTTCCTGGGCCTTTCAAGCCTTCACGTCTTGCGTCTCTCCAGCAACTCCATCGCTAGTTTGAGCCCCAGGACTTTTAAAGACCTGCAGTTCCTGGAAGAATTGCAGCTGGGCAACAATAAGATCCGCACCTTGCTCGAAAAGAGCTTTGATAAATTGGGTCAGCTGGAAGTTCTTACTCTAAATGACAACCAGATTCAGGAGATCAGGCCTGGGGCGTTCCTCGGGCTTTCAAACGTGGCAGTGATGAACCTATCTGGGAATTGCCTTACCACCTTTCCCGATTTCACTTTCAGGGGTCTTAGCCAACTGCACAGCCTCCATCTGGAAAACTGCTGCCTCACAAGGATCAGGCCGCAGATGTTTTCTGATCTCTCCAGACTGCGAAGGCTCTTTCTGCGATTCAACGCCATCTCCGTCATCGAAGATCACAGTTTGAACGATTTGCACGAGCTCCTTGATCTGGATCTCAAGCACAACCAGCTGAGCAGCCTCTCCCCAAATCAGTTTGCAGGCCTCAGGAGCCTGGAGTATCTCCTTCTTTCTTTCAATCAGCTGGTAGAGATCTCTCCCGGAGCCTTCGCCCCGTTGTTGCGTCTCTCTTGGCTCGATCTCTCCAACAACGTCTTGGAGACGTTGGACAGCGGCGTCTTTGCATCTTTCTCGAAACTGACCTATCTGAACATCAGGAACAACTCTCTGAGAACCTTCTCGGTGGATTGGCTCGGCCCCTCGCCTACGTTGGTCCAGCTGTGGCTAGAAGGGAACAAATGGGCGTGCAATTGCTCACTCAAGGAACTTCGAGACTTTGCTCTGCAGGAACCCGGCGTGGTTCTGCGGTACACGCAGTCCATCACAGAAGGAGAAGCACCTGAATACACCTACAACAATATCACTTGCCTTAGCCCAGCAGAAGTGGTAGGACTTGATCTACGAGATATTCAAGGAGACCATTTTGTGGACTGTTAAAGTGTTTGGTCATCTTGCTTTCCAAGAAACTTTTTTCTCCAAGAAACATTTTCTCCTTTGTAGGGGAACAGTACAAACTCAAATCTTCAATGTGTTTGGACTTAAGAAGCTATTGGGAATCAAGCACAACTTAAGTCATCACAACGCATTGTAAGCCGCCCTGAGTCTCCGGAGAAAGGCGGCATATAAATCAAATTAAAAAAAAAAAAAAAAAGGTCTATTACAAGTAGCAGGCCTCAAACACAGTATCGGACCAGACCTTTTTTTTTAGTGCTTGCTTGGGAAGTCCAGCAGGCATTTCTAGATTTGTAGATCAGACTGAGAAGTTACAATTCAGAAGGTGAAAAACTTTGTATATTGCTCCCCCAAAATCTGCGTAGACTTCCTTCCTTCATTCAATCACCCAGTCGAGTTTGATTTAATGGAGAAATTACCCTAAGATTTAGGAAAATTAATTAAGGAAAATAGTGAATATCAAATAATGTCCTGAATCACAGAGTGGCATCAGTGTTAACTTCCTTAAATATATTTAAGCCTTTAGGACTCACTCAAATATTCCAGTAAGTGGGTTAATCTTGCCTTTTCCTCCTTCTCCCCCCTTTATAAAGTATGTATTTTTTTTTCCTACTGGCTCTGGAGTTGGGTGGGGTATATCGATGTTGCCCTACTGTTTTCTCATAATGCCGACTTATCACTTGGAAACATTTTTTTTCTCGAATGTATTTGTTAATTGATCTGATTAAGTTTTATTATGCGAACACTGCCATCGAGTAGTTTCACTCTGTCATGTTCACATGATTTACAAGGAAATAATCTTTCCAAAGTGCTGTAGCTGTGCTTGACGGTAGCAATCCCTACATGCCTAGCCATAAAGACTGTGGATAGAAATAATTTGAACATGTAGAGGTATATATAGCAATAGCACTTAACACTTATATACCACTTCACTGTGCTTTCCAGCCCTCTCTAAGCAGTTTACAGAATCAACCTATTGCCCCCAACAATCTGGGTCCTCATTTTACCCACCTCAGAAGGATGGAAGGCTGAGTCAACCTCGAGCCTGGTGAGATTTGAACTGCCAAATTGCAGGCAGCCGGCAGTCAGCAGAAGTAGCCTGCAGTACTGCACTCTAACCACTGCACCACCATGGCTCATATCTGGTTAAGAAAAGCAGATGATCATATACTGTTAAATTCTGGATCCCAATTCTCCCTTCTAGTATGTTCTTGTCTTTCCTGAAATATCCTAACCTTAATTTACCAGCATTTCCATTTTTTCTAGAGTTTCTCTTGTGTCCTCGCCACTCACGGGTCATTTTTCCTTGTCCTCTTGGAGCCTCTGCCTCAGTTCTGTCATAAGAATTTCTAGCCATTGCTTTCATACAGATGGAAATTAGGAGGAAATAATAGGGATTTCCCCTTTCGCTATCATAGAAGCTAGAAAATGAAAACATTTCAGGATTCTTTTGTAAAAATGAAAGGTTATATGTTATGGGATAAGTAACAGCAGTATGTTTTCCTGGACACTTTTATTTCTGTTTTGTAAGAGACAAACAACAGTACAACATACTGTATATTTCGGAGTATAAGATGCATCTTACTTTTTGGGGAGGAAAATAGGGGGGGAGGGGAATTCTTGCCTACCAGGTATTCATCTGGCTAGTCCCAGCACATTAGTTCATTCGCTGGTTTTGAGGTTGGGGCTGAAAAACGGCTTCTAAAGCACAGCTGATTGTCAGAGGGTACAGCAATTAGAAAAGCAGGCAAAGCACGGAAGATCGCTTCGCTAGCATTGGGGCTGAAAAACAGCTTAAAAAGCACAGCTGATCCTCGGAGGGAGCTCCAGTGACTAAAGCAGGCCAAGCATGGAAGGGGTAAGAGAAGGCAGCAGCTGTTCCAGGTAGCCATTTTGGGCACCGTGCGGGGTTACATTCGGAGTATAAGACGCACCTAAATTTTCAGCCTCTTTTAGGAGGGAAAAAAGTGTGTCTTATACTCCAAAAAAATACGGTAAACATGCAGAATGTGGAAGTGAGACGCTTAAAATAGAGACGAAAGGTTAAGTAATCTTTTCAAAGAATCCACAAACTGCGTTTCTTGATAATTCCTATACAGTGAAATCAGGCTGTTGTGGTTTTCTAAATGAGTACCTAAGGGAAGTCCTCCTGTCGTACAATCTGAACTTGGCACTGTGTGTATATATATATATAAAACCTTAGACAACACACATACAGGTTGTTACTTGTATATGAAAAAATAAAGCGGAATACACATGCACAAGCTTTGATTGCTGTTGAAAACAATTTAATCGATAATTCAGTTATTAAAGAAAAAAAAATCCTGAGTCATGATCAATTCTGCACAGCAAAAGAGAATGCCAGCTTTTGAGTTTCACTGATCATTCACTGACATGCGCCAACTGAAAAGGGTTCAATGGATGGTAGCAGAGGATGAGATGCAGAATGTAAGCACCCACAGTTTTGTCGGTCTCTGTGTCTCTCTGTTTCTCTCTCTCAGAAACATGTATGCAAACAATGCTATTTTCTCATGTGTAAAACAGTACCACGTTGAACCAGGATGGGTGAAATTAAACAAATTTCAAGGGCTGACAAAATTAACTGCAGGATAGATCACTCCAAAGCACCCAGTGGGTCCCTCGTTTGCCAGGGGAAGAATGCACCAACACCCATATCAGGGATCATGATTTGCTCCACTGAAGTCTGGTGCTGCAGAATGTTGCTCTCCAAAGATGTCTTCCCACTTCCTGGTCAGATTCATTCACTTCTGCTTGAGCAACGAGGAGACGTTGGCCGTTAGGAGCGCCACTCTTGGTTGCTGCCTCAGGAGCTACAGGTGGAGGCCTCAGCCAGAAGATGCTTGGCAATATCAGTCAATGCCGAGAAGGCTAAACTCTTGGGAAATTCCTGGAGAAAGTCTCTGCCTTCTTCCAAACTTTGGGTAAGCTGTGGATCCAGAGGGACGCAGCCTGTTGAAATGAAAAATACCAAAGTGAACAATGCTTTTCTTCCTTCCATCCTCCAAAGCTAAGTTTTTTAATAAAGTTTTTAGTTTTTACAAACACATCAAATCAATGTGTGAACAGTGTGGCACCTGGGTGTCCAACACTCTTAATAGAAATAAAACTAGTAAAATTAATCACAATTATTAGATTCAATCAACTTATATATTTCTAATAATGATACATAATTGTGATAAGCTGCAATCTGCCATTATTCAATTATTCCGTTTTTCCCTTATTGTTACTTTTGTTTTATTTTACAAACGTATACACTAATATTCCTCCTTCTCTTATTTCTATCACTTATTCTAACTTTTAATCATATCACCTTTTATTAAAAAAAATTTTTTCTTTCTATCCTACCTAACTTCTAATCATGTCACCTACCTACCTACCTAAATAAATAAATAAATAAATAAACAAATAGAGAGAAAAGGGAAAGCAATTCAAAACAACAGAGAAGAAAAATCATCTATCCATCGTCCCTTGTCCGCTTCAATACTTTAGCTGCTATGCTTTTTTTATTTTTAACTTGCCTCCCAAATTCCTCTCCTGGATCTCTCTCTCTATCAGAATCTGCTTCTTGGCTGTTCAATCTGGGTATTTCCAAAGGAAAGTTAATATTTCACTTTTTTCATTTCTAATGCCCTGGTTGTTGGTCTACATCTCCTGTTTTCTCGTTAACCTGGTTTAGATATTATGCTAGCTAGGGCTGGCTTTAAGCATGGTGTCTAGAAGTCACAACTGGCAGGGTTTGCAAATTATGCTAAGCAATAAACCACAATGGTTACGTCCATTCAACTTGCTAAGATAAAACCAAACACACATGATTATATTGGCGTGCTGTGTGAACACAGCAAGTTACATAAAAATACACAAATGACCCCTTGAAATCTGTATTCCCCCAGCTGTAATTCTAGGGAGAAATTGCAAGGTAACCGATTGGCGGTCGGACAATATGATGTTGAAACTATGACTGTTCTCCACAGAGACAGCCTTGGAGAGTGGAGTTTGCAGTTAACGTCTGCTAGTTACTAGTTAATATTCAGTGAAAAAATACTCACCTAGGAATGGGACACCTGCATGTTTGGCCAGTTCTTCTCCACCTCCTTTGGAAAAAATATTTGTGCATTCCTGGAAATGTAGAAAACTGTTATAAAAGCAGGTGACAACAAAGGCTCTATTTGTTAAGAAGGAAGATGGACGGAAATAAAGTTCACAGCTGCTGGAAAAACAGAATATCATTTTGCACACTTTCATAAAGTGATGGCCTTCTTTTCCTAAATGCAAGAAGAGGGCAGCTGCTAAGGACAGTTGGATCCATCCCGTATGTCACGAAAAGACCCAGCAGATACCTTCTCAGAGTTTTCCAGCAACTGCAACTGAGAAGTTACTCTGCACTAGTCCAGTTTAAGTTCAAGCCAAGGATACCCATCATTTACAGAGTTCTTGCTGTCAAAATACAACTTGCAAGTCTTTAAAAGCGAGGATTTTTCAGCTCATGCTGCCTTTGGAGCCACTGGATGGCGGGGAATGGAAGGACACAGATCAACCCCCACGTGGCATCAATGAAAAAGGATGCAAATAACCAGCTGTCTGCAAGGAATATAAATCCTTCCACTCCATCCAATCAGAGCAGAAGAAGCTTCTTGGATGAGAAGCGAAACCTCCTCAAAGAAAAACCAGAAAGTCCAGTTGCCTCTTGAAAAAACACCGTTGGGACAACCATGACCTTGGATGACTGAGAATCTCCATAGACATGTAGCTGTCACTAATTTCAGCAATTACCATATTTTTCGGAGTATAAAATGCACCTTAGTTTTTGAGGAGGAAAAAAAGAAAAAAGCTGATTGGCAGGTGGATCCTGGAATGCCCCCAATCGGCTGTTCCCAGAGGTGAATTTTAGCAACAGGTTCCTTGGTTGTGAGCTCTGTGCCTTGCTTTTTTTTTCTGCCTCTGAAACTTCTGAAACTTTTTTTCAGAAAAAACTTTTTCCTGCCTCTGAAAGCCTCCAAAACAGAGCTTCAGGAAAAAAGCCTCTGAAGCTCTGTTTGGAGGCTTTTTTTCTGAAGCTTCTTTTCTGATGCTTTTTTCAGCCTCTGAAACCCCCGTTTGAGAAGCTGGGCGGGGCTACATTCGGAGTAAAAGACGCACCCAGATTTTCACCCTCTTTTTGGGGGGGGAAAAGGTGTGTCTTATACTCCGAAAAATATGGTAGATCCACAGTCCAATCTAGGCCTGGCATTAGGGGTAGTATTCACTTACTTTCCCTACCGGTTCGCAAATGTGAGCGCGGGTCCACGCATACGCCTAGCCTTCCGCACACATGTTTTGCTGGCGTGCGCACAACTTCAACGCATGAGCCCAGCCTCAAAAATGTGCCTAAATAGAATGGTATAGAGCCAGGGCGGGTGGGCAGGCCCATTTGCGATTTCTACTACCGGTTTGGGCGAAGCGGTCCAAACAGCTGAATACCACCTCTGCTTGGCACCCAACTCTCACCGAGCAATGGGGACAAACAAAGCCGCTCATGTTCTCCACAATCCCGAGGACGCGCAGACCGGTTTTCTTGCAGAATGTCAGTTCTCGCCTTACGTCTCCCACTGCCACTGCCTACAGGAAGGAAAAGGAAGTCAGTTAAGGGGGAAAAGCTCCAAAGCATGAACTGCTTTCGTTAGAAATGATCACTCGCCAGCCACCCTTGGCAGCTACCCTGGAACGTGTATCTTCTAAAGGATCATCTTGGAAGGGAAGTTATCCAGATAGTGAGCTTTGGAGCACAAAATGGCAAGGCAGAAAGATGAGATTCAGCCGTTCCAAAAGCATGGTGTAGCATGGAGAGTTGGGGAGACATGGCATTCACTAACGTGTTTGTCAAAATCACCCAGATAACTGCTGGCTTCCCATATTTCATGGAAGTCTAATTTGTTTGGGTTTGAATCAGGCCAACTGACTGAACCCGGTCAAATGGGGTTCATTGCATCATTCAGAGTTTAGCATGATGGGTTAGTTAGCAGGCAGTGCATCTGCCTATTTCAGAGCCTCTCATCCCCTGCCTTGAAATCTGTATGCTGCTCCAGCAGCTCATCCTCTTTTAATGATCCCATAATCCCTTGTGGGGTGGAGTCTGGGCAACTGAATGGAGCTGAGCGTTTACTGGCCGGATGCTCTTCCTCTCGCCAGTGCTGAGTTCTGTTCAGCAGATATATTCTCATCCTGCCCAGAGAGAGAAATATCTGCCTCAACCTAAGATCGAACTGTCAGCCCCCCGATTGTGAGGCCAGAGCACCACCTCTAGGCCACCGCACCACTTCGTATGCTTCTCTAGTAGATGCACTGGAAAAAAACTGGACGGGTATCGCCTTCAATTCTTAGTCTTGAGAAACAAAATGCAGGATGTCAACATCCGGAGAATCCACTTTTGGGTATACAGGTAAAATGTTCCATTTTCTCTGGATGCAGGATACTGGTGACATCCAAAGAACATCCAAAGCAGGGGTGAAATGCTCCTGGTTCGGACCGGATCACCCGATCTGGTAGCGATGGTGGCGGGTGATTCGGAGAACCGGTAGCAAAAATCTCTGCGCCCCCCTCACCATGCCCAGCTGAGCCGCACAATCATCAGAGGCTTTTTTTAAAATTTTTACTTTTAAAAGCATTTTTTCTACAACCTCTTCCGACGAAAAAATGCTTTTAAAAGTAAAAAAAAGAAAGCCTCTGATGATTGTGTGGTTCAGCTGAGATCGGCAGAGGCTTTTCAAAGCATTTTTTTTCTGCAACCTCTTGGCTGAAGAAGTGGTAAAAAAAATGCTTTGAAAAGTCTCTTGACGATCACAGCTGAGTTGCCTGATCGGCAGAGAGGCTTTTCAAAGCATTAGAAAAAATGCTTTGAAAACGTAAAATAAAAAAAAAAAAGTTGGCCACGCCCACCCAGTCACATTACCCCCCACCACCAAGCCACGCCCACAGAATTGGTAGTAACAAATTTTACATTTCACCCTTGATCCAAAGCTAGTGGCGGTGAGTGCCTGTTACCTGAGGTGTGGTCACCAAAACTGCCCCAAGAGGTTTAAAAGGCCGCAGGGATTCTACTGTGGAGATGTGCTCATCGGAAGTCCCAGGGGGCGTGTCCACAATCAAGAAGTCGAGTTCTCCCCAGGTAACGTCAGCGATGAATTGCCTTATTAAAGCTATAAAGACACAATATGCAAATGAGGATCACTGATAAAGAGAATGAGAGACGCCTTTCCATATTTCTTCACCCAAGTGATACAGGTGGACCTCAATTTACAACAGGTTCATTTAATGACCGAAGTTACAACCTCACTGAAAAAAGTGACTTATTCTTTTTCACACTTAGGACCATTGCAGCATCACGTGACCAAAACTCAGGCGCTTGGCAACTGACTCATATTTATGACGGTTCCAGTGCCCCCGGGGTCATGCGATCCCCTCCTGTGACCTTCTGACAAGCAAAGTCAATGGGGAATCCACAGACTTACTTAACAACCGTGTTACTAATTTAACAGCCGCGGGGATTCGCTGAATGACTGTTGTCAAGAAAGATCGTAAAACGGTGCAAAACTTACTTAACAAATGACTCATTTAGCATTAGAAAATTTGGGCTCAGTTGTGGTCACAGGTCAAGGACTACCCGTACTCACTTTGGAAGGGTGGCAGCTGAAACATGCCGTACCGTTTTTCTTTGGTCCTCTCCACACCACGGCGTCATCTGGTTTCTCTAGGAGGAAGCCGATGGACATGACAGCAATGCTTTTGTCCTGGTCCACAAAGACTGGCACCCAGCCACTGTCGCACTGGTGAACATCTCGGTCCTGCAAGCTGAGCATGCGAGGGATGCTGGGGCCGCACAGGTCCACATCGAGGATCCCGACCTAGAAAAACAAGCAGCCCTGTTCCGAAAGGGAGATCTCACAAGGCTTTTGCCTGGAATAATGGTGGCGCAGTGGTTAGAGTGCAGTACTGCAGGCGACGTCTGCTGACTGTCGGCTGCCTGCAACTTGGCAGTTTGAATCTCACCAGGCTCAAGGTTGACTCAGCCTTCCGTCCTTCTGAGGTGGGTAAAATGAGGACCCAGATGGTTGGGGGTGATATGTTGACTTTGTAAACCAGCAGTCACCAACTGGTGGTCCGTGGACCACTGCTGGTCTGTGAGAAAATTTTGGTGGTCCGCAGAAAAATTATTTGCATTTTTTATATTGCACTTAGACTTATTGTATATAAGTCTAAGTGCTTTTGCTATTGCTCTTTCCTTCCTTCCTTCCTTCATCCATGGTGCACAGTTGTCAGAATGCAGTACTGCAGGCTATCTCTGCCGACTGCCAGCAGTTCGATCCTGACTGGCTCAAGGTTGACTCAGCCTTCCATCCTTCTGAGGTGGGTAAAATGAGGACCCAGATGGTTGGGGGCAACAGGCTGACTCTGTAAAACTGCTTGGAGAGGGCTGTAAAAGCTAGTGATTCCAACCCACAGTGCAAACACTTGATGGTGTGCAAGGAGAGCACAGGTTTCAAAATAGGTGACTAATGAATGTCTCGAAATGTTGGCATTCTCACTTGAAATCTGGCAAGACTTTGGCCACGTCATTTAAATTAAACCTGGCAATTCCACAGAGTTGAGATCATGTAAACTGTAGTTCCCTGCGATCTCAACCTCCATTTATTTTCCTATGAAACGAGTAGAAAATAAGGAACAGCCTTTTAAAACTCCAGAAACCAAATCAATCAACCAAACCGACTAAATCTAGGCATCTAGAGTTGTCTTTGGTTGGAAAATGTGTGCTGGAGGAGAAAAGGCAGAAGAGCAAACCATGAAATAACCATTCTGAGACGGCTTGAGTGGGAGCTATGAAACAGTTGGGTCAAAAGGTACACCCTGTCTATACAAAGCTCAAAAGGTAGATCAAATAAGCTCTTATGTTTCACAGATCTCCTGACACAATGTTTACCTTTTTTCCTCCTCTATACAACATCTGGCAAACCTAAAGTCCTCCCAATATTAGACCAGCTGCCATCAATCCCAACAATAGCAACAGCAAAAAAAACCTTACATCCCACTGCTCCCTGCTTTGACTTGCGTTGGGCGTGGATAATCTACGTATTTTTTGGAGTGTAAGACGCACCTTTTTCCCCCCTAAAGGGGATGAAAATTTGGGTGCATCTTATACACCGAATGTAGCCCTGTCCACCCACTGGCCCCCACCCTTTGGCCTCTGCCTCCCAGCAATTTACCTCCTTGCAGCAAGCAGCAACAGCTCCTTTCTGCTTCAGCACAGCCTAATTAGCACAGGTTGATTAGATCGGCCTCCCGACTCTCAGCTGTTTTGCAGGGGCCTCTGCTGCTTGCTGCAAGGAGGTAAATTGCTAGGAGCAGATTTTTTTTTTGTCTTGTGCTAATCAAGCTATGCTGAAAACGAAAATGAAAGTAAAGCAGGCTGTTTGCTGTTACAAGGCAAAATTGCTCAGAGGCAGAGGGAGATTTCTTTTTCTTCTTTTCCTTACCAAAAAAGGTAGGTGCGTCTTACAGTCCGGTGCGTCTTATACTCTGAAAAATACGGTATCTCTCAGAGGCTGTACTTCATTGGACGTGTCAAATTTTTCAGCTTTCAATTTCCAAACATTACGGGCGTTCAAAATTTGTGACATGCCTTGGGGATTGTAAAGATATTTTGGTTCACTTTAATATAATTTAGATGTGCTTGGTAAGTAGCTACGTACATATAGTAACTTTTGAACATTTTTGTTCGTTTCATTTCCTTAGTAGCTAAGGCCTGGAGTAGGCAGGGCAGAGATTTTCCTTTTACTGGGGATCTGGAGAGTTCAATTCGTTTTTCTACATGATACCAGGCTTATTTTAGGACCTATCGCAGAGGCTTTGTATGTTTTCCACTTCAAAACAGCAGGAAACCATGCCACTTAATTTGGCCGACTGAATCAGCACGATCTCTATAGGGGAGGAAAAAAAAAACCCAGGACTCAAAGTGCAGTTTTAATGCCTCACGGTATCCACCATGCCTTAGAGGGAGGTGACTCTGCAAGAGCTAAATGACTCATGCCATCCGCTTCCTTAAGCCGCCTTCAGTCCAACAGGAAAGAAAGCTTCCTATGTTTGGATGTTGGAAACCTTCCGTTTCCCAATCCAACCAGCTGTGAGGTAGTCATAGCAGAATACAGGGAAATAAGTGGGTATCAAATCACAGCCTTGGTCTAATATGTAGAGCACAATCAAAGAGGTCTGTAGATCTCCAGGTTTCAGCCAGAAATAATTTGCAATACAGCCTACATCAGGGGGTCTCCAAACTTACTTCAACTCAGGGGTGGGCTTCAGATCCTTTAGCAACGGGTTTGCTGCCCCGTTGCTGGGTGGGCCTGGCCATGGCCTAGTCGGCCGCCTCCACCATGGGGGGGAGGCATTTTTCACCCTCCCCAGGCTCTGGAGGCTTTCCTAGAGCCCCCGGGAGGGCAAAAACTGCTTCCCACAGAGTCCAGAGGCCCTCCAGAAGCTGGAAACAAGCCTGTTCCTGTTTTTCGCCCTTCCTAGGCTCCGGAAGCCCTCTGGAGGCTGGAAACAGGCCCGTTTCTGGACGTTCAAAACATCCGTTAGGATAGGCGTGGCCAGCCAGGGGTGGCATTTGGGGGTTCTCTGAACCCCAGTGATCCTTGGCTAGAGGATCGCCCGAACCCTGCCAAACCCACAGGAGCCCACCCCTGCTCCAATTCCCAGAATTCCTCAGCCAGCCATGCTGGGGAATTCTGGGAGTTGAAGTCCACAAATCTTCAAAGCTGCCATGTTTGGAGAGCCCTGGCCTACATCATAGGACTTGGGTGGGCAACCTGCAGTTCTCATTTCTCTTTTTCTCACCCTCCACCGCCCCCCCCCGGAAAGCTTCCTTCAAATCACTAGAAATTCAGAGCAAAACACTGCATGTCAGTGGAATTATGAGCCTGGTTGTAATAAAGACATAATTCTAAGTAGGAAACCTTAATGGCTGAACTCTTCAGGTTGCATGGCTAAATCTGGAAGCCCCAAGGTTTGTGTGTGGTGGTGATGGGTTAGGCTTAGAGTTGGAGGGGGAAGGGGAGGGGAGGGGAGGGGAGGGGAGGGGAGGAGCTGCTTTAACTTTGGCACTGAAAAGTCTTGAAATGGCACCTACCTTTTTCCCAGCGTGCTTGAAAGCCAAAGCCAGTTCAGTGGAGATGGTGCTCTTTCCAACACCCCCTTTCCCTGACAGCACCAGGATTATGTGCTGGACCCCAGCCAAGTTGCCTCGTTCTGCCAGGAACAAGAGAAAATAAGCAGAGACAATTGAAGCGACGTCTGACGGAAATAGAAAAAAAAAGGAAAAATAAGAGACGAGGAGCGATGCAGAATCAAAAGACAACCCGAGCCTTCCTTCCAATTCTGACAGTGACTGGAATGGCATTCTGCAAATTCTGATTAATTGTTTCAGTTGGTCAAATTATGCCCTGATTCGAGGTATCTGGGGCAAAATAAACGTAAGGGGCAAAATAAATGTAAGGTCTTCTCCTTAAACAGGCCAAATTAAAAAAAAAAGAAGAAGCAGAGCTGTGTTTAAGCAGACTCAAACAAGAATCTGGTGCACCCAGAAGGACTCCCAAAAGCAAATGTACTTATCATTACAAGAGCATAAGACTCTTGGCTACTAAAAGCTAATAAAGTTTCCACTGTGGAAAGGGCAGTAAAATGCTCTTTGTAATGGTAGTGTTTGGGGTCCCTAGGATATTTCAAAAGAGATGAAGCTTAAGAGCCATGCTGCAGACTCATGAGCCCTAAAACACAAACGTCCGCAATTCAGGAAGCAACTCTTTCCGTTTTCCCAAACATCCAGCAGGGCAATATCCAGGAGCTTGGATAGCTCTGCAGACTAAAAGCACTGTAATTTAACTCCAGCTGCCTGCAATTACTGCAAGTTCAAATCTCCCCAGGCTCAAGGTTGACTCAGCCTTCCATCCTTTCTAAGGTAGGTAAATTGAGGACCCAGTTTGTGGGGGCAATAAGCTGACTTTGTATAAAATATACAAAAGGATGAAGGCTATTGCTTAACGCACTGTAAGCCGCCCTGAGTCTCCGGAGAAGGGCGGCATATAAATCAAATAAAAAAATAAAATAAAAAATAAAAAAATTTACCAGCCCTGAATACAGTAGACATGGCCACTTTTATATTTCCCAAAGAAGCCAGAAACTGCAAACGCAACCAAGCTCTTCTGTAGGCTGTAGAAGTGACAGGAGGTCAAGAATGGAGTCACATCCCGCACTAACCTACTTGTGGTTAATTGTGGTTTGACTAAGCTGCAGCTGGCTGGATCATACACTGCGTTAAGTCAAAGCCAAAGAAAAGTTACAGTTTAACCTGAACGAATACAACTTAGTATATTAACAGCCTTCCTGAAATCCATCAAAACTTGCACCGTGGATTACAATTCCCATCATTCCTGCATGAAAAATAGAAGTTGTCATACATCAGCGGGCCACCGAATTGGAAAGCTGGTCTAATATGTTAGGGCCGTGATGATGAACCTATGGCACGCGTGGCAGAGGTGGCACACAGAGCCTCCTCTGTGGGCACGTGCGCCGTTGCCAACTGATCTTCCGGGCTCCGTCGTGCACCTGTGCGCCAGCCAGCTGTTCAGCTGCTCTCTTCCGGGTCCCAGCGCTCACGTGCGCTGGCCAGCTGGTCTTCACGCGAAGACCAGCTGGCTGGCGTGCACATGTATGCTGGAACGTGGTAGAGATCAGCTGGCTGGTGGGCATGCGTGCGACAGAACCCAGAACCCAGGCTCTGGCGTGCCCCCTGAAAAGGTTAACCATCACTGTGTTAGGGCATGCTGCAAGCAATCAAATACACCTTTTTTTCTGACCTTCTCTGTAAAGTCTAAGATGCAACTTCTCTAAGGAGATACCTATTGGTGTGATGCAAGTGTATGCATATGCTCTGAATCACCTTTTCCTTTTCAAGTCTGGATTGCTGCATACCCTAATGAATAGTTCTGCATATAAACTCACAAGCCTTATTGTTGGCCAACAACGGAAAGGTCAGCCAGAAATTAGGTTGACGTACAACCTTACCCTACATGGCAACCTCCAGGTTTGGGTGTGCAATTCCCAGAATTTCCCATCCACATGACTCTGCTGGCTAGGAAATTCTGAGAGGTACACATCTGGATTGTATCAAACTGGGAAAACAATCAAACCATCTACATTTTTAGATTAGGGAGACTGCATAACTAACAAAAACATTTAATTCTCTGATTTATCACCCGGACACTCTCTGTATGGCTACATTTTCACCGAAGCTTGTATGTTTTGACTATATCACCCAAGGTCAAATGAAAAGAAGTCCATTCCTTGGAATAAGATCAGAGAACAGAGCAACTGTTCTCTTAAAATGATGCCCACTCTATAGTTCCTGCTTCTATATATTTAATGTGTTATAAGCAAGATTAGAAATAATGATGATTATAATAATAATAATAATAATAATAATAATAATAATAATAATAATCAGATTAGCTAGGAAAAAAGCAAAAAGATAAACCTCACAATTCTAAGCACAAGTGGATAGCCAACAAGCTTAACCAGGTTATTGAATTAACCCATTTTCAGAGTCTGTATAATGGCCTGGATCATAAACTCAGCAGAAAAACTGGGTTTGTAGAATGTATGAAATTATACAAGACTAATCAAAGCTAAAACCATTTTTACAAAGCTGTTGAATGCTGCCTCAGAGCCTGATCTGGTGAAGCAAGAATAAACCCTGCTGATTGTTCAGATCCAAAGTCAACTATTTAGATTTTGTTCTAGACTTTAAAAATAAAAGACAAAGAAGACACAGAATATTACTTGGTATGGAATAGATTTTATGAGTGGTTAGAGATAAGAGGTAGAAATTAGATGAAGATTATTGCTATTTGTATGAATTAAATATAAAGATGGGTTTATAATTACAAATATGCCAATATAATTAACCAAATTATAAATAAGCTAATATAAAGAGAAACTTAGCTAAAACTATTGTTACATTATTACTATTGTTACCGGGATATGTGCTAATATTTCTTTTTGTTTTGTTTTTCTTTTGTGAATGATATACCGACAATACACTGTATTCAAAATGTTTATGAATAAAAACAAAAAAAAATATTTTGTTCACACCGAAATTGGTGGCCATTAAGTCACAAGCAACTTACTTCACTGATTTCAGTAGGAACCAAGTTCAGATAATTTGATTTTGATCCAGACCACCATTACTGATTTGAAATATACAGTCCTCAATTATGACAACAATTTCTGTTGCTAAGCAAGACCGTTGTTAAAGTGAATTTGCCCCGTTTTATGACCTTTCTCGCCACAATTGTTAAATCAATCACTTTTTCTTCTTCTTCTTGTGCCATGTCCGTCATCGGACGTTGGCGATCATGTTGGCGATCCTATTTTTGTCAACAGCCGTATGAAAAAGTGCTGCTGAGTTTTTGTCCTTAGGTTTTGAAGCCATAATCTTCTTTTTCTGCCTGGGCCTCCTTTGCCTTCAATTTTTCCCTTGGAGGATTAAGGATGCTGTATTTTTCTGGGTGTCGCATCACATGCCCAAAATACTCTAACTTTCGCTTTTTAATGGCTTTGATGATTTCCCTTTATTCTCCTAAATCAATCACTGCAGTTGTTAAATTAGTAATGCAGTTGTTAAGTAAATCTGACTTCATTAACTTTGCTTGTCAGAAGTTGTAAAAGGTGTTCCCATGACTCTGAGACATTGCAACCACCATAAATATGTCAGTCGCCGAAGCATATGATTTTTGACCACGGGGATGTTACAATGCTTGTAAAGGTGAAAAATGGTCTTAAGTCACTTTTTTCAGTGCCAACGTTAACTTCGAATGGTCACTAACCGAACTGTTGCAAGTCGAGGACTAACTGCACTGGAATGAATTTTCTGAATGACATTTCAGAGGAAAAGTCATCCCATATTGGAAGAATGAAAGTAACTGAATGATGTTTGCCTTCACTGGCATGTTTAAAATCAAGATTCATACATTTACAATTTAGAACCAGCATGCCCAACTCCTCTGCTATCCATATTCACAATTCTCTCTCATTTAATAGCCGCAACCGGTAAGAGTATTTGCAACACTTCCTATTATCTGGGGGAAGCCACGATCCAAGACAACATGTTGATTAGAATTCCATGGCTTCTCAGTCATTGGGCCTTATAATGAAGACTGTCCAAGATGTAAACACCTCTAGTGTGTGATCAGAGACTCAGAGAAGGAAAAGGTGAATAAGTATGTAGATGTTGAGTCACCCAGGAATTTCCTGCAATTTTAACACGGCTAGGCTGAAGAACATCATAATAAGTTACTCGGCTGCATTATAAGAGGAAGAAACCGTCTCCTTGGAGAGAGAATTTTGAACACCCCAAAATGTATTCGGAAAAATGAAAACAGGACTCCTGAAACCCTGGTGGGGGACAAAGATATTGAGTGGGACAGCAGGACGTTTGCTGAACGGAAATGGGACCTTCCATGACATTGGCGGAACTCATCACAAAAGCCACCGAAGGTAATGTTGGGGTAATTTGCCTCTCTTTTTCTACTACTAAATTCATTGGGGCAAAAGTTCAGCTTTCACATTCTGTGCGTCCCTGCCATTCTCTTTTAAAACGGATGTACTGTCATCCAAAGAGAATGCCTTGACTAGGACTTTGTTGTCAACAGGGAAACTAGAAGTCGGGAACGGGAAAAAAAACCAATATTCAACAGCAAAGGATAGGATATCTCTGATAGTACAAGACATCCTTAATTTACGACCATTGGTTTAGTGACAAGTTACAATGGTGCTGAAGAAAGTGACTTATGACGGATCCCTGGTCTTACAACCATTTTCATGTGATGATGACCTTCCCAACTGGCTTCTGATAAACCAAGTTAGTGGGAAAGTTGACAGGAGGTTGCAAGTCATGGTCACCTAACAACCATGGGAAAAGGATGTAAAATTGATGTAGTTACATGATGCCTCACTTAATGACAAATTTTTCAGTCCTTATTGTGGTCATAAGTTAAGGACTACTGTATTAATATATGAACAGTACATTGACCTATCGTATTTTGATCCTGGTATTCATTCAAAGACGCTATTCAGTAACTGGGCAACCTCTACCGAGTGGGGTGGTAAAATCACTGAAGGGAAGTGGAGAATTTTTTCCAGACTTTTTTATTATATATTTCTTGGTGGTATTAAGAGTTTGGGACCCATAT